TCCAGGATTCATATTGATGCTCTGACAAACTGGGAGGAGATTCTGGATGCTCCTGGGTTCATGTTGATGTTGTGACAAACTAAAATGACGTTCTGTGTGCTCTTGGGTTCATGTTGATGTTGTGACAAACCGGGAGGAGATTCTGGGTGCCCCTGGATTCATGTTGATGTTGTGACAAACTGAGATGACATTCTGTGTGCTCCTGAATTCACGTTGATGTTTTGACAAACTGAGATGAGTTTCTGTGTGCTCCTGAGTTTATGTTGATGATGTGAGAAACTGAGTTGAGGTTCCAGGTGCCCTGCATTTATGTTGATGTTGTGACAAACTTAGATATAGTTCTGGGTGCTCCTGAATTCATGATGATGCTCTGACAAACTGAGATGACGTTCTGGGTGCTCCTGCGTTCATGTTGACGTTGTGACAAACTGGGACGATTTTCTGTGTGCTCCTGAGTTCATGTTGATGTTGTGACGAACTTAGATCAGGTTTTGGGTGCTCCTGAGTTCATGTTGATGTTGTGACAAACTTAGAGCAGGTTTTGGGTGCTCCTGAGTTCATGTTGATGTGACAAACTTAGATCAGGTTTTGGGTGCTCCTGAGTTCATGTTGATGTTGTGACAAATCAAATTGAGACGATTTTTTTGTTGGTGTGCTTCTGAGTTCATGTTGATATTGTGAGAAACTAAGATGGGGTTCTAGGTGATCCTGGGTCATGTTGATGCTCTGACAAACTGAGATGACGTTTTGGGTGCTCCTGGGTTCATGTTGATGATGTGACAAACTGAGATGACGTTTTGGGTGCTCCTGGGTTCATGTTGATGATGTGAGAAACTGAAAAGATTTTCTGTGTGCTCCTGAGTTCATGTTGATGTTGTGACAAACTGAGATGAAGTTCTGGGTGTTCCTGAGTTTCCCTTTTAGCCGTTAGGCCATATTTACGGCCCGACTATATTCAGGGCCCCCGACAGAAGCCAGGGTGGGGCTTCAAAGAACAAAAAATTGCATCCCACCTAGGGACGACTGTGTAATAATAAATAGGTCACTAGTCGTACAGACACATTCACTAGTCGTACAGACACATTCATTAGTCGTACAGACACATTCATTAGTCGTACAGACACATTCATTAGTCGTACAGACACATTCACTAGTCGTACAGACACATTCACTAGTCGTACAGACACATTCATTAGTCGTACAGACACATTCATTAGTCGTACAGACACATTCACTAGTCGTACAGACACATTCATTAGTCGTACAGACACATTCATTAGTCGTACAGACACATTCACTAGTCGTAGAGACACATTCATTAGTCGTACAGACACATTCACTAGTCGTACAGACACATTCATTAGTCGTACAGACACATTCATTAGTCGTACAGACACATTCATTAGTCGTACAGACACATTCACTAGTCGTAGAGACACTTTCATTAGTCGTACAGACACATTCACTAGTCGTACAGACACATTCATTAGTCGTACAGACACATTCATTAGTCGTACAGACACATTCACTAGTCGTAGAGACACTTTCATTAGTCGTACAGACACATTCACTAGTCGTACAGACACATTCACTAGTCGTACAGACACATTCACTAGTCGTACAGACACATTCATTAGTCGTACAGACACATTCACTAGTCGTACAGACACATTCACTAGTCGTACAGACACATTCATTAGTCGTACAGACACATTCACTAGTCGTACAGACACATTCACTAGTCGTACAGACACATTCACTAGTCGTAGAGACACATTCACTAGTCGTACAGACACAGTCAGGTAATAAACAGTTAATTAGTCGTACAGACACAGGCAGGTAATAAACAGTTCATTAGTCATACAGACACAGGCAGGTAATAAACAGTTCATTAGTCGTACACAGTCAGGCAATAAACAGTTCATTAGTCGCACAGACATAGTCAGGTAATAAACAGTTAATTAGTCGTACAGACACAGTCAGGTAATAAACAGTTCATTAGTCGTACAGACACAGTCAGGTAATAAACAGTTCATTAGTCGTACAGATATAGTCTTGTAATAAACAGTTCATTAGTCGTACAGACACAGTCAGGTAATAAACAGTTCATTAGTCGCACAGACATAGTCAGGTAATAAACAGTTCATTAGTCGTACAGACACAGTCAGGTAATAAACAGTTCATCAGTCGTACAGACACAGTCAGGTAATAAACAGTTCATTATTCGTACAGATACAGTCAGGTAATAAGCAGTTCATTAGTCGTACAGACACAGGCAGGTAATAAACAGTTCATTAGTCGTACAGATACAGTCATATAATAAACAGTTCATTAGTCGTACAACCACAGTCAGGTTTTAAACAGTTCATTAGTCGTACAGACACAGTCAGGTAATAAACAGGTTACCCGTCGTAGAGACACAGTCAGGTAATAAACAGTTCATTAGTCATACAGACACAGTCAGGTAATAAACAGTTCATTAGTCATACAGACACAGTCAGGTAATAAACAGGTTACCAGTCGTAGAGACACAGTCAGGTAATAAACAGTTCATTAGTCATACAGACACATTCAGGTAATAAACAGTTCATTAGTCATACAGACACAGTCAGGTAATAAACAATTCATTAGTCGTACATACACAGTCAGATTATAAACAGTTTATTAGTCGTACAACCACAGTCAGGTAATAAACAGTTCATTAGTCGTACAGACACAGTCAGGTAATAAACAGTTCATTAATCGTAGAACCACAGTCAGGTAATAAACAGTTCATTAGTCGTACAGACACAGTCAGGTAATAAACAGTTCATTAGTCGTACAACCACAGTCAGGTAATAAACAGTTCATTAGTCGTACAACCACAGTCAGGTAATAAACAGGTTACCAGTCGTAGAGACACAGTCAGGTAATAAACAGTTCATTAGTCGTACAACCACAGTCAGGTAATAAACAGTTCATTGGTCGTACAGACACAGTCAGGTAATAAACAGGTTACCAGTCGTAGAGACACAGTCAGGTAATAAAGAGTTCATTAGTCGTACAACCACAGTCAGGTAATAAACAGTTCATTAGTCGTACAGACACAGTCAGGTAATAAACAGGTTACCAGTCGTAGAGACACAGTCAGGTAATAAACAGTTCATTAGTCGTACAACCACAGTCAGGTAATAAACAGTTCATTAGTCGTACAGACACAGGCAGGTAATAAACAGTTCATTAGTCGTACAGACACAGTCAGGTAATAAACAGTTCATTAGTCGTACATAAACAGTCAGGTATTAAATAGTTTATCAGTCAGGCAGACACAGGCAGATAATAAACAATTTATTGGCTACATAGTGACAGGTAATAAACAATTTATTAGTTACACAGAAACAGTTAGGTAATAAACAATATATTATCGGAAATATGGGACAGATCCGTTGTAAAGGCAGACTGGTTATACTGACAACGTCAAACTTGCAATGCCCCTTGACCTGTCAAGCTAGCACCATCTATTATGTACGCCTCCATGCGAGCCAATAAATCTGACATATGGTAAGCTGCATGCGATATCAAAGGATAACACGCCTTGATGAGAGTTGGTTGAGGGCCTATGCTCCATTAGGGATATAAGGCAGAAGAAGAAGAAGAAGAATAGACCTCTATCTTGAAAACACATTCACTGTCAGTTAAGTAAACCATTATTAATCATACGGTGCTAACCGAAAGTTTCCGCCACGCTCGATCGTCGCCAGATGCCTGGCCGCGACCTTAAGAACATTATTTTATTCTATTGTGACTGGTTTTGTTTGAAATATCGGTTATATTTTATATGTATGGACGAACTGCTGCTTGGTGGATGAGGAGGTTAGCGTTATTGTGGATGCCTTTACTTCCCAGACATGTTTTGATAGCATACTGGGCTAGTCGACCCTCCAGTAGATAAACCCACCCTTAGACGGATTCATAGATACCTATGCTAGCATTGTAATGTCATTTATACGGGTGTATTTATAAGAAGCACTATTTTCATCCCCCAGCTCTGAGCCCCCGAGCGTACCTAGAGAATCACTGCAGAATGTTTTCACTGACTGAGAAATTGTGCCTCAGAATCTTTAGTAAACATAAAGGAAAGAACAACTTTATACAAGGGAAGGTAAGGCTGGAAAAGTAAAATGTTCTGCGTTCCAAATCATATGTATCGTTACAGTGCATACTTCCTTGCTATAGAAAGATTCTCAGAATATCTTGGACAAAGAAAATGAAATACTGACATCTTAAAATATCTGAACATCAAGGAAGATTGGTTAATACTGGAAAGATTGGAAAAAATTATAGCAGAAGGCATGGTACCAGGAAGGAGGGGCAGGGGCCCACCGACACGAAGATGGGCACAGGATATAAGTGACTCCTTGAGTGTGAAAGTGCATGAGACGGGAGAACTATCAGGCAGACTGTGATGAGAGCGACGTTCTGCAAAGGACCTGCTATATGATGATGATGATGCACACTTCCTGCAGAAACATGGCAGTTAGAAAGTTCACATTTCACGGTCTCAGATTTGTTTGATTGTGTGAGTGAGTTTGCCTGTATGCATGAAGTCGAAGATTTACAAACAATTTATGTACAAATAAAATGCACATACTTTCACCATAACTTGAAATAGTGATATTTTTTCTGATGTGGTTTTCATAATTACTAATCCAGTTTCGTCCTTTTTAGGATGAAATTTTTTATTATTTGAAGCCCCACCCTGGCTTTTTCCAGGGGCCGCAATATAGGCAGGCCATAAATATGGCCAATTGTCTGAACGCAGTTTGTGGGACCTCTCCACGGTAAACCTCATCCACATGGTGGCACTTTGTGTCATCGGGTGTCCTGGTGAGGTAGAAAGTCAGTCAGTCAGTCAGTTTTCATAATTTTATTAGAATTTGGTGTCAGTCATGTTGATACCTGCTAGTTAGTTATGTCGTTGTCTTTAATTTCATCATTTAAACAATTATAATTTTTTTCAGTCAAAGTTATTCAATGCTTTGAATGAAGTGCTGTTTAGCAGCATATCAGAGGAACAAAGCCAGAGACTGTGTGATTTACTGGAGATAGATGACAGCACTCTCATCAGCCCCAAATTGTTTGTTGGCATCACAGGTGTGGTTGAGAGGCTATCGTGTGCCCAGTTTTGGTAAGTGGAAGTGTTGATATTTCTTTTGTGCCTACGTGATGTAATGTCTGAAGTTATTTGTATAAAAGTGACCCAATATATGAAGCTCCATCATATCAGAGTTTCTTATTTTTTACTTAGAAGAGGTCTGCTTTTGATAGTTCCACTGTATTGAAGTCTCGGGGTGTATTGATGGATTCTGTCGACGTGACCCAATGGCATATGTTGTACTGAGTCAAACTGACTGACGGGCACACTCCGGGATTATCTGTCAATTCCAGCACCACTGATCAGTAAAATACAGATTCTACAAAAGCTGCCGAAATTATGTAAGAACATCAGACCAAAAGTCGGAAGAATTTAAAACCATTAGCGGTGTTAGAGAAGGTTATAGTCTTTTACCTAACCTCTCCATTCTTATGATGGACGATGTCATCAAGACCAGTCAGCACAAGACGTACTTAGTAGGGTGCTAGAAGATGAGACCAGTTTGTATAACAGATTAGACATTTGCAGACGGGGTGATAGATAAATCAGAGGCACGTGTTCAATCCAAATTATTAGTCGAGAAGGAAGAGCTTGAGAAGAGACGGAAGACCATCAGTATCTCCAAAACTAAAACCATGGTGATCTCAAGAGAAGAGACGCCCCATCGTGATGGGACAACAGGCACTGGAGCAGGTCCGTCAGTTCGAATACCTTGGTTATAATAGGCCGGAACGGGGAGCATAAGACAGAACTCACTAACTCGAAAAGCAGCTGATGGAAGACTTTTTCAGGCAAAACCAAGGGGTTTATCAGCAAAAGATAAACTAGTCAGAAGACGAAAATGGATATTTACCACTCTACCTTTATGACAGTCCCGACCTACGGGAGTCATTAGAAATGACAATAGCACACAAAAGCCAGCCTCAGGCCTCAGAAACTGAATATCAGAGAAAGGTGGTCCACATGACAAGAAGAGCTAAAGCTCGCAACCAGATGATATGTCATGATCTTGAAACTCAGACCTTACAGGCTCGGATGGATCAATAACAGTTCTGGTGGTTTGCACATGTATATAGAATGGGAGAGAATCACCCACTGCGGCAGGCATGGGAGGCTAAGAACTAGGGAACCAGACCAAAAGGATGAACCAGTGTTCCATAGGAAGACAACATCCGACAGTTCCTAACTGATAGAGAACTAGAATTGAACAAAGCCACACACACACACACACAAACTGCTGATCAAAAAGTCTGGTGATCACTTTGGCAAACCTCTACACCCCAGGGTAGAAGAGGAGTGACTAGGTCAGTAGGATATTGACTGGACATTTATAGTTAGAATATATACTGCGCCCCCCCCCCCACCCCCCAATTCTCCTGCACCCCTCCCATCCCCACATTTAGAAAAAAAGATCATGAAAGGACAATAATTTTTCCATAATTTCCACATTGAAAATCATTGTAATTGAGTGAAATCGTTAAAATTGCACACAAGAATACCTTGTGGGTCAACCAGTCAACTGACAGTTCTTTTGCGTCTGGGTTGTGGTTAGATGAGAAGTGTGTGGACTTTCCCGCAAAATAACAAAAACGCGCCATCGGATAACTAACCGTTTTTGTGGGAGTTTTTTAACGGTGTATATTTTATACTATAAACATATCGGAGGCAAATGGACGTCGCGTAGTGCAGCAAAACCTTGCATATGATATCACAACGTCTAGTTTGAGAATGGAGGTGGAGGCAGTCTGCTGCCTTCCGTTGGCTTGAGAATCAGCTGTACACACATGCCGTGATTCTAACTGACTAACAGAGCATGTTGAGAAAGGTGAAAACAGACATGCTTCGCGCAGAGTGGCAAGCATCACTTCAAAGGTCCCTGCTAGCATCCTTTGGATATTTCCACCATGTGATGCCGGTGTGTTGGGAAATGAGCAGGCAGATATACTGAGTGGCTCTGCACGACTTGGTGGTGAATTTATGTGTGACAAGTTAGATATTGAAGGCCCTTTGGTGAACAGTGCGGAGGCGCAGATGGATCATTACGGCCTGAGGAGAATGGCACTGTGAGGAGTTACCAGGGGATGTGGCCGACGCTCAACACTCAGGGGAAGGATGAGACAGATATACAATCAGACGATTACTGGTACCATTGGAACTGGAACTCTTCACTTGCTGTGAAGATGGGAACTGAGCACTTTTGGGAGCGCCCCGAGTGCTGTCAATCATGTCGATTCCTAATTAAAAATACTAAATTCTGTATAATTCTTTCGTACTACATGTTGCTACACTGACCAAAAATTCACACTGAACATAATAACAGAACAAAACATGGATTTAAATTCACCACTTTGCATTGGATTCGTAGATAATGAAAAAGCCATTGACAGCATTGACAGGAACCTTCTGAAGAGGCACTATGGGATCCCACAGGAAATTATTAACTTAGTGAAGGCAACATATAAAGGCATGAAATGTGGAGTTGTTGATGACAAAAAACTAACAGATACATTTGAAAAAAAAAAAAAACAGGTATGCGACAGGGATGTCTTTTGTCGCCTCTCTTGGTTTTACTGGCAATAGACTGGATTATGAAGACAGCAACATCTAACACCAGGAATGGAATTCAGTGGACCCCTACAAAACAGCTTGATGTTTTAGACTTCGCTGATGATATTTTTTTTCTACATCACTCACGAAATCAGATGCAAGGTACATTAAAAATACTCGATATCACAACAGCTAGGTTTTAAAATCTATAAAATAAAGACTAACATAATGACTATAAACCAGGCTAAACAGTAATCAAATTTTTATGATATTCCACTCTAAAATGTGGAGTCAGGCACTTATTTGGGCAGTAAAATAGATAAAGATGTTAGAACTGACAGAGATATTTAAAAAAGGAGAAGAGAAGGCTTGATGCGTGTTTGCAGCACTAGAAAATTTGTGGCAGTCAAAAGAAATTGTAAATAATACTAAACCTAATGTCTTTAATTCTTATGTCCAATCAATAGAACTGGAGCGGAAAACATAGAGAGAAAACGATAACGAAAGCACTTACCAATAAACTGCATTCATTAACTAGTGCCAACGCATGTTAGGGGAAATTCAAGGTTATGACAGAATCACTAATATTGACCGTTGGGAAAGAACTAAGCAAATTCTAGTGAATCAAAAGATGAAGAAAAGATGCTGGCGTTGAATTAAAATACATATTGAGAAAACCTGAGAACCGAATAACTAGAATGTCTTTGCACTGGAGCCTACACGGGCATAGGAATAAAGGCAGACCAAAAACACACAGAGAAGGGAGGTAGAGGTTGAAGTTTACAAAAATAGGGTGGACATAGAGTGAGCTGCAGGCGATGGCAATTACGACTTGATTTGGCTAGGAGCCTATGTTTCATTGGGGCTGAAGGGCGGAAGAAGAAGATGTTGATATAATATAGCAGAAACATGTGCTTTTCAACAACACACTATTTTGAATTTTGTCTGCTTTAAAATCACGTAACATATCTTAATAACTACAGCAGACTCTGCAGTATCCGGCATTATGTGCCGGAAGGTTAGGCTAGGTAACAAAAATGTGGCGATCTATATCACTGGCACCTTTCCGTCTTTCCAGGCGATAGTGTTATATTGCGCTATGAAGAGGCATGAGACTCACAGCCCATGGCGATGGCGAGTGTGACTAGCAAGACCCGCCCGTGTCAAGAAAAGTCGTCCACAATGATAGCATGGGATTTCAGGGCCCTTGTTGTCAACATTTGTGTTTAATCCGTTTCTTTTCAGACGCTCAGCTCTCATCCTTTCTGCAATCATTTCTTCCTTCAGTCTCATTCCCTTCCTGATATGCCCTTTCCACACAACACGGCCCATGGCATTTTGTTCCCATGAGTCCGCCTCAATACCTGTATCATTCGTGTAATTCATAACGATCCATAAATACTCTGTTTATACCCCAGCCATAGTTTTATAGAAACTCTGCAGCACCATGATATCTTTGGTCCAGGCAGCCAGAAGAGCACAAAGCCAGACCTTATATATCCCTCGACATACGAAGCGGTAAAAGAGGACGTAGAGAAGAAGAAGTTAGATTCTTCGAGGGTTACTTGTCAAATCGACATTAGATTCATGCCATTCACATAACAACAGTTTCTGTGAGATCTTATGTTTTATCGTTGCAGTTTCAAAGACGATTCAGACAGCAAGTTTCAAAAAGACAATATTGAGAGTGCAGATTTCTGTTCTTTAAATTGGAAGCTTCGAGACATTGGAGTCAGAAAAGACATGCGTGTTCTACTGCATTTGTTATTGTAAGCAGGCTATATATATCTAACAACACCGGCTGGGAAATGTTGCCGAATTCTGCATGGTCATCAGCGGCTAATGTTCATTAGAGTATCGTATTTTTCTTTAAATATTGCTCCATCGAAATTGCAGCCTGATATATTGGCACCGACTCAAAGAGCCACTATTCTGATGTGAATCCGACAGGAACAAATCCCTGAAATCTTGTTAAATTATGTAAAAGAATTATAATAGGGCAGCCTATGATTAAGAATTAACCTGCCAAATGGGGGTGAGTTCACTCAGCAAGCCGCACTTGTGTGTAATGTTAATGTTCAGAGCAGAGTGCTGGGCTTAGAGTGAAGTGTACTGTTGATGTGGCTTACTAATATTGTTTATGCCAATGTTCCGTTTAATGGAAAATCCCTCTTGGGACATGTATGTAATCACTTGCAAACAAATCTTTTAAAATAGAAGATAAATAGAGACAACTATGCAAATATGATACGTAACACAATCAAAAGCACAGTAACAGTAAAACGAATATATGAAACGTGGCTAAAACGACAGGTTAAAAAAAAATGACGTTATCAAGAAAGAAGGTGGCACGGAGCCAGTACTAAACTATATCAGGAGACAACAGATCAAATGGTCTGGAGAAGTGTCAAGACTACCACCAGATAGTGCGCTACAGAGAGCTCTACCACTAAGACATAATGTAATCAGGGCTGGAGGTTAACCATGCAAGTCATTAAACACGACCTACTCTATTACAGACCACGGCCGTAGCATGGTCACGTTACGTGCTTAGGCTGACAAGTTGTATTGAACAAAGGCTGACACGTTTTGTGTGCATTGATATGGTACAACTTACGAGATCGGCCCCAGAAAGAGAGTGACTTCCCTTGCTATTTGTTCCTGGTCGTGTCGTGGGGCCTGTCCTATGTTGCGGGGGTGTCACGTTTAGTGAGAGTTCAGCAACACAACGAATGTTACATGATGATGTCTCTGGTCAGAGTTATCCTGTGTTCTATATTCCACTATGTGAGCGCTTTTAACGGTCCCAAAACATGTAGAACTAGCCCCAACCCAAACTCCTGTATTTCATACAAGAGCGAGCTTCTCAAAATAACGTCCTTTGGACCACCATTTATAGTTTTAAAATTTTGAGTATTTTACTTTTCCGCGTGTGACCACAGTGGTCTTATAGTTGTCTTCTTGCAATAAGAACGGGTAATCATGTCATGGAGATGTGTGTAAAATGTTAGATGATTGTATCCGTCACTTGTTATAGTGTGATTCGATTGTGTCGGTTTGGGTTGGTAGCTAGGCTCCGGTGTACTTACATACTATATTACAGCACACCCAGCTCACGCGTTGAGATCCAAATGTTCGGCGATAAGGACTGTTGGGGCATGTTTCGGACCGAACTCAAGGCTCTCTGGGGGATGGGGTGGGGGATTGTACTTATAGTGCATCCGGAAAAGGTAGGAAAGGGTGAGGGGGGCGAGGCTGGGGAACCATTCAATCAGCCCTCACCGTTGCTGTCTTGCTGGATTCTAGCGTGGCCTTTAGCCGATATTATACGTATCATGTCACCATCCTGTGCCATCACACCACTGAAAAGGGGAAAGGTGGAATTGGTGGTTAGGTGTTCTAGTCCTGTCAGTATGGATGCATTTGTCTTTCCTAATTGATGTCATTCATATCCTGTTGTGAGCCCCACTGTAACAGGGAGACTTATTTGTTAGGAGGTAGGATATTGAGCAAAGCTAAGATGTACTGGGATCAACAAGTTTTGGTAACCTTAACATTCCCGTTTTTCTAGAACCTTCGTTTGTTATTAATAGATAAATATTTTGCAAGTGAATAGTATTAGACGTGCCCTTTTAAAGAGAACGCGGTAGTACTAGCTTTCTGGAAGTCTCTGTGACGTCAGCTGTCAATTTAATTACTATATTTAGGCTCAGAATAAGATGATGAAATTTGATGCATTTGAGAAATAATTAAAAAAATCCCACGTGAGAACGCACATACTAAACACGTTGAGGCGTACTGGAAACTTCTAGAAGAGAAGAAAACAAATACCTAGCATCCCAGCATCTAAGTATAAATAATGAGTGAGAAACCACTAGGGTAAGCCTTCGGTCAACCAGACTTGGAAGAGGAGGGACTAGAAACATTTACACTCAAAGAAAATCTTCAGCCGTTAAGACTCCGAGGATGAGCGACTAGTTTCATGGACCCTCACAGTTGTAGAGATGCCAGCTGAACACTAGAAGAAGAGGAGCCAGTCACATTGACCCTCGAAGACAGACACTTTAGAGGAGACATGAAAAGAGACTTCGAACTACAGATACAACAAACACGATTCATGGATCCATGGTTAACAGAGGCATATTAGGTAACAAAATTATGGAGATGTTAGAGTCGACGATTAAGCCATTAGTACCATACAGCACTAGAAGCCATTTGGCATTTACAGACACTACAGCCAGTTAGCATAGTAATTAGAGATGAAGAAAACATCGCGACCTCAAGAGCATATAACTATAGAGCTAAAGCAGTGGCCTTTATCATTGATGTTATTTGTGACATTGCTGAAGTATCACAATAAAGACAGTAAGAACAGTTTTTTTCAAGATATTGCATTTTTTAAAGCATTAGAGTCACGTGAGAGGCATGCAGCTAGCAAGACATCATCATCATCACCACTATCAGACGACCAACTTTCACCTCGTCTAAATTCTCTTCAAATCGACTCCTCCTGTAGCAAAACTAAAGACGAACCTGGTTGTGCCGTCAACGTACGCAAAGAACAGACCTATGCTACACCACCAGTCATGTTTATGTTGTATGCAGATATGGAATGAGATGATTTTGAATATGAATCCCTGGGGTATATGGACGCACACAACTAAATGTATGCATCCGAGCATCCATACACTCAAACAACAGTACCTGTTTGCACTTCCTTTCATTCCTATCCGTGTATGCATAAACAAAGTGACACATACATATTTGTCATTTCGCACACATGCATTCTCTTTCATATCTGTCTACCAAAATATCGACTTGTCTGTGGCCGGAGTTTATATCCTTTCCATGTCTTGTTATTATTAGCACGTATTCAGTCTTATCTCGACTGATGTTTAGTCACATTTGTTAGCTGTTCTTTTAAGAGTCAGAGTTTTTAAATTCTGTAGCTCATTTTTTCCAACGATATCAAGGTCATTTGCATAACCAAGTATTTTGGTAGTTTCTCCTATAATACAGTGTCTTTTCAATTTCTCCGTTTAAAAGAAATGGGGTCAGAGCATGACCTTGCTTTAAACCAGTATTTGAAAAGGGTCTGACTTTCTGTCTTTATATGTTTTGTATTAAAAGTGTCTTCCATACATAGTTTGGTCATTTTCATTCCAAAGTCCTTCCAATCATTCCATAAACTTTTTCTATGTACAATATTATATGCCATTTTAAAATCCACAAAAAGTATAATGTACATCTCTTCTATCTTCTCAGTTGTACTCTGCTATTTCTCGTCAAATAACCAGCTGATCTATTGTTGATTGTTCTGTCGAAGCTCGCTTGGTAATCTCTCAATATGTATTCGACCTATGATTTTAGATAATAGTGATATTCCTCTAAATTTTTCAAATTTATACTTGTCTCCTTTCTTAAATGTGGGTAGGTAGATGGGTAGGTAAGTTGTACCCCACCAGGATATCACACAAGTGATAAACACCCGGTGACATAAAGTGCCACCATGCGGATGCGGATCACCCGCGAAGTGGTCTCAGAAATCCCTTTCAGCCGTTAGGCCATATTTAAGGCCTGGCTATATTTAGGGCCCCCGGCAAAAGTCAGGGTGGGGCTTCAAAATAAACAGAAAGTGCATCCCACAAGGGGATAAAGAGTAGTACTTAAATATGGGTATTAAAAATTACGCTTTCCACTCACTGGGTAATTTCTCTATCTTCCAAACTTAATTTAATAATTCATATATCTTTAAATGTAATGCATGACTTTATAGATGCGTTGTTCTGATGGTTAACTTCCATATCCATGACAATGTTGTCCATATATTCTTGCTTCTGCTGGCTAACTACTTTTGTAGATTCTTTAAATTCTAAGTTTTGGGAAGTAAAGGCGGACGGCCTGATGTAGCAGTTAAACCCACCTAATGGCGATTAGTCTATCAAATATAGGTCTAGCCATCTAGACGCTGAGCTGCCGGTCGCAAGAGGTTAGGTTCTGGCAAGTAAAAAGGGTCGTCGTCATGTAGTGGTTAGACCCACTCACTACATGTTTGAAAAAGGTGTATTATAGTGGAAAAAGCAACAGTTTATGAAAGCTTGGGAAGGGCCCTGGCAGACTAATGGGACGAATGGACAGAATACAAGCAATCCAACAGGCAGGCAGACAGACAGATAGGTAGCGGAGAAAGACAAACATGTAAAGGGAGAGAGAGAGAGAGAGAGAGAGAGAGAGAGAGAGAGAGAGAGAGAGAGAGAGAGAGAGAGAGAGAGAGACCTAACATGAGACACCAAAAGTTGTATACAAGAAAATACAGCTCTACTAGTAGTCAGTAATGAGAACAAAGGACCTCTTACATGCAGATGATGATGATGAAAAGTCACACTACCCTGTCAGGCCGTTTGAAATGAAAACCAAAAAGACAATGTAAAGAAGAGAGAGAGAGAGAGAGAGAGAGAGAGAGAGAGAGAGAGAGAGAGAGAGAGAGAGAGGGGGGGGGGGGAGATTCAATATGATACACCGAAAGTTGTATACCAGAAAATACAGTTCTAGTAGTAGTCAGCTTGAAGTGTTTGCCCGTTCTCGGGGCGACTCCAGCTTGTACTTTGTAATGGCTACTAATCAGAAGACTGTGACACAGCCTCGGAAGTATGGATCCACTCACACTAAAGTAAAGAATGATGATGACAGCGGAGGTTAGAGAAAGAAAGAGAGAGATAGATAGATAGATAGATAGAGAGAGAGAGAGAGAGAGAGAGAGAGAGAGAGAGAGAGAGAGAGAGAGAGAGAGAGAGACCTACACATATTTAGAGGGGTATCAAACAACTAACAGAAGACAGCGGGCCACCATCTTGTGAAAAAATATAGAGGCTCACACACACCCGCCAGACCAATATTCTTCTTCTTTTTCTTCTTTTTCTTCTTCTTCTTCTTCTTTTTCTTCTTCTTCTTCTTCTTCTTCTTCTTCTTCTTCTTCTTCTTCTTCTTCTTCTTCTTCTTCTTCTTCTTCAGTATTTTGAGCGCTTGAGGTTCTTTGCTGCAGATATCACCCGCCTCCACTCATCTCTCTGGTTGGCCTTCTCTTTCCAGTTGGTAAAATCACATGTTTACAGATCCTGAACATTATCTCTCCATTGTCTTCTTGGTCCGCCTCGTGGTCTACGACCATTCATCTCCTTTATAAATGCAGTTTTACCTCTATGTCGTCTGACATTCTCTCAATATACCCCAAACATTTCAGTCTATTAGCTCTCCTGAAGCCAGTGATCAGTGATGATTGAAACAGATCACAAATTTCGTTGTTGCTTCTCACTCTTCATTTCCCGCTGTTTGCATTTTTGGTAGGTCTAAAGATTCGTTGTAATACTCTGTTTTCGAAAATCTGTAATACTTCATCTCTTTTAGATGTTCTCCAAGTTTCAGAGCCAAATAAAACGACTGGTCATATCAACGTTTTATATATTTTGACATGTGTGTTGCGAGATAGGGGCTGACTTTAGCAGATGTTGAAGGGCATAGTATACTTTTGTCAAGCAACGGATTCAGCAGAGAAAAATATTATTATGGTCTGGAGAGAATGAGGCACCTCACTACACTCAGAGGAAAGGCAAGACGGACATATAACCAGATTGTGACCGGTACCATCAGTATTGGAACTTTGCACTGGCTGCTGAAGATGAGGACGGAGCACTCATTGGAATGCCCCGAGTGCTGTGATGTCAATTCTTGACTCAACTCTTCACTTTCTGTAAATGATCACGGTTCCGTACTTAGAGACTGTTCCCGCTGCTTGCACTGCACACATTGTTGTGTGGCATGGCTGTTGAACTAGTCAGGGAAAAGTTACCGACTCCGGTGGTGAAACGTTCATTGAAAAGTGGCATAATTCAGCCGAAAGTAGACTTAGTGAGTTGCACGTCATTTTTTGTTAAACCTAAACTTTTCTTACCGCGATGAAGCTTGTAATCATTGTGTGATCACGACAATGATAAATGAAAATCCGTACCCAGTAAAATAAAATTATTAAAAACCCCGGCGGGTTATATATAATCAAGCTTCTTCAAGACTATGCCCGACGTAAATGACAACATATAGATGTGCAGATTGGAATCTAGCCAGTCTAGTTGTAGTCATTGTTGTGTGGACATCCTCAACTAAAACTAAGGAAGTTTGTTTCACCTCTTCCAGATACCGGTGCTAGGCTATCCTCCGAAAAACGGTCCCATATTATCGAGGCCGAAAATATACCCTAACAGGGCCTCACTCACATGTCAATTGCGGAATTCTGGCGAGTTAAATTGTGAACTTCCGGTGACTACCGCCACTGGCGAGAGCGGCGCGGAGATAAACTAGATGGCTGGGACTCACGAGCAGAGGCTACCGCATCTCCTGCAGCTTCCTTCATTTTATTTGCTTGTGAGTCCCAGCCATCTAGTTTAGCAGCGGCGCGGGAGATACTCTCGGCAGTGGTGATAGTCGCCAGAAGTCCGCAATTTACATGTGACTGAGGCCCTGTTAGGGTATATTTTCGGCCTCGATCATTTGGGACCGTTATTCAAAGGATAGCCCCGGTCCCAAATATTCACTGCGAAAAATATCCCTTCGAGAGCCTCAAGAGGTTATGTAGAAAAAACATTTATGCCCTAATCATGTTTCCACCTCTGCCATTATTGCTCAATGGACGTTAAGCTAAGCACCGTAGGGAGATATATTTTGCAATCCATTGAAGCACTTGGGGAGGAATAGATTTTGATCCATAATTTAAGTGATGTGGGGAGGAGTAGTTTTCGTTCCATTAAAGCGACATGGGGAGGAGTAGTTTTCGTTCCATTAAAGCGACAAGGGGAGGAATCGTTTTGGATCCATTGTTCCCATTACCTGTTATAGGTTTCAGGACCACATGTTTGAGGGGAAAAAAACGAATAGATCCACAGCCACCTAAAAAGAAGATTATAAAAGGCGACTAATTAGGGCTTTGCTGAAATTGGATGTGTTGGGGCGAAAGGCACAGATATGGCGCCTAGCTGTAAACCACAACACAATGTGCCAACTGCCTTTTTAAGGGCTAAAAAAATAACCCGGCGGGGAATCGAACACTGGTCACCCGCGTGGCAGGCGGAATACTTACAACTGTGCAACCAAAAACTTGAGTTTAGTTTAAATTAAATTATATAACAATGGGAAGCATAGTTCGTAGTGTTCCTATTCCATATTTTTAACTATATGACCTTTTGAGGCCCTGAATAGGTTTTTTTTAATAGTGAATAATTCGGGGCCGGTATTCGGGAGAGTGCCCTGAAATGCTTGCTTGCAATTTTTTGCAGTCAAATTAAGTTCATTATTAACAGTTGCTTACTTGAATTAATTTAACGGATTCATGAGGGTGACACTGACACTCCTTTGTAAAACATGAATCATTGAGATGGTGATAAAAATATGGCACCAACAGATATTATACATTTATTAATGACACAAATTGATGGTGGTGTTGAAAATGATTGGTGAAATAAATTATTATGGCTAAAAGATAATAGTATGGTGGGGATTAAAACTTATTTGGAGCGACTAGACTGATAATAAACAACATAATGATGGCAAAAACAAAATGATAATGGCAGTATTGCAGTAAATGATTATAATTTGAAGTGGGTATTTTTGATGAAAAAAACGTCAGCATTAGAGACAAAGTTGGAACAAGAGCATGCATGGAACATATTGAAAGACAGAGAATGAAGTGGTTTGGCCATTTAGTAAGAATGCAGCCAGATCAGATTGCCTATAAGGCCTTTTACAGTAGAACATCGGGAAGAAAGGCCAGAGGAAGACCCAGGAAAAAATGGATAGATGGAGTAGCTGAATATGGCCAGAAGATCCAGAAAACTGTCACTCAGATCACGCGAGAGGCACAAAACAAATATTTTAAACCACGACACTGGGCTGCAACCCGGTAAAAGTGAAGAAGACAATAGATAGATAGATAGATTATTGATGAAAAAGACAGTGTTGGACAAAATTATAAAAGTGGAAAAGTCTGATATAATTATATTAGTAGTGTTGGATTATAATATTAAGTGAAGAGAACCTCAAATGGTAAAATTAAACAGTGATACATGATGATAATTATGATAATTTAAAAAAAAAAAAATCTTGTTAATAAAAATGTAAAATAATCTTTTATTTCACATCAGACAATAATTAATGCACTGAAAATTGTAAAAGAAAAAAAGTAATTTTCTATTTAGTTTATTAGAAACAAGAGAAAATACAAATTGTGTTTACAAAATTTGTCTACGATTTTAAATCACGAATAATAAAATGGTGGGGCTTCCTTGATAATAATATTATATATCCATAACTGTCTAGACAGAATAGCATGAGAGAGAGACAGAGTGAGAGAGAGAGAAGGGTGGGGGGGGGGGGGGGGAGTCTAAACTAAAAGTCTTGAGGGAAAGACAAATATATTGAGAAAAATCCAGGCAAATAAAAACTAGTATTCCTTGATGAAACTTCCACTTCAATACCGTTTTTGTTAAGCATCTGTGGAGCAAAAATAGAGGAACAGATAGAGATATAAAACTATCAGTACTAAAGGCAAGGAGTTCTCATAACATTGTGAAGTCTGTGGTGGTCAGAAGTAATAAAATAAATACTAGTGTCAGGCTTTGAATATTTAGCTCTAACATGAAATGGAGCAAAACTACAGAAAACAAACAAACAATTACTAATTAACTACAAACATTCATTAACTGGCAAGGAGGTTAAATGGTATACTAGAATCGCTCCTTTTTTTCACCGCTCATAGGCTTTAAACTCTGGTGGAAAGACATTTGTTTCTTCTAATAGGCTTTGGTCTTGTTTCTGAACTTGAGTTTTGCATGCACCTCCGTTTAATGAATCTGGCTAATTTGTATGCAGTCTGTTGGTTCTTTGCTCATCGGGCAGATATACTCTGACAACAGTAGGTCTATACTTTTTTTTATGGGGCCACGGAACCCCATAGAAGTTGATCATCTAAAAACAGTCCTTCGTTCATTATCATGTAGTCCATTATTATACTAAACATATAGCTGCAAACTCTTATGTTCTCACATTTGTTGTATGTTTCAACACTGACTTCGGTACTTAACTGTAGATGCTCACATTTTGGCTTCAGGATATTTTATTTTGGTTCCTTAATGTGTAACTTTGGTTTGTTTCAGAAGTGATACATTGTACAAGTCATTAAACCTGCCTGGCAGTGAGAGCAGTTGGATTGTCTCTCTACAGTCTTTAGAAGTATGTCTGAAACTAGTAATCCTTGTTTGGGAATATCACCCCCCCCCCCCCCCCCTTTCTTGGAAAGATGTGTCTCTTGGGTTGTACAGGCAGAATTCACTATCAGAAATGCAGTTGACATGATAATGAATTCTGATAAATGGATGACAGTGCCACTCAGGATTGAGGAGGACGGTGAGGCAGTCGGCGGAGTGGTTTTAAAAGGTCGTTCACCAGGAGTCTTGGGGACTATTGAGTCATATTCCTGAGGTGTTCGACGTACTCCATAAAGGGTTATTGGTTTGTGATGACTGTAGTAGCTGTTTTATTCTCTTCAGAGCGTTAGTGGACATTGTTTATACCGGTTTGTGTTTGTCCACAATAAAGAGACTGATAGCACTAGAAGAAACATACTTGGCATGGTGTATTATGTTACTGTACTCAAAGACAATGCTAGTGGTTGCTTAAGGACATGTTAGCTTGTTGCATGTGCCTTGATTTTAGTGGTGCTCTTGTTTGGGCTCGCCCCTCCTTGCTCTCCTGTAGGAACCTTATAGTCATTTTGTCGTCTGAGTGAGCTCTTGTGTGTGACTGGAGCAAGTCATACATCCTGGGGGCTTGGTAGGAGGTATTACCCCCTAAGAACGCATCTAACACTATTTCAGATCATCTCATCTAGATCCTCTGGTACCTTGTTGTGCGGAGATGAAGTATAACTTACAGGAAATAGCCCATTTGTTTGCTTTGAAACAATGGATTCCCAGCAACTCCTAATTCCCTCTGTCCATTGCTTGCATGGTCTGCCTCTTTTTCGCTTCCCACCTGGTCTGTACTTCATGGCTTGCTGTGGTATACTGTCTGCTGACATGTGTGTTATATGGCCAAACCATTTCACCTGTTGTCTTCTAATGAAATCAAGTACTGCTGCTACCCCCATTTTCTTTTGGATTTCATCATTTCTGATCTGATCTCTTATTGCTATATTGAGAGCTTGCAGGAATCTCATATCAGTTGTAATTTTTCTTTTATCTTTTTCTGTCATTGTCTAGGTCTGCAATTAATAACACAGGGTTGGCAAGAAGATTTGAGTCATAGAGTGCTGTTTTGGTTCTATTGATTCATGTTTGTTTCCTATATTTCCTATCTCTTCCTATATTTTATATTATTCACATAATATATAATAATACTGGACAATGCAATTTTTTGTTGTTCTTTTTGTTTGACATGCTTTGCTTCCAGAACAGCATTTTTGTTTTGTCCATAATAAAATCTCATTATTTATTTGTGGAACTGTATACTCAGACTTTAGATCTGAGTCAAGGAGAAATCATCCTCATGTTTTGAGGTCGTCAATATGTGTTTTCTCTCATATAGCATTAACTGTGTCCATTCTATCCATAGAAGGTCCACTTTCGAGGGTGGTGTTGCCTGCATAGATATCCACCATCTTGTTGCCTTTCACACTGGAATGTCCAACTTACTGGAACATTCCCAGGACAGAAGAAATAAAGGAAAACCTAGAAGAGAATTGGACATGATACAAGCGGGAAGGCTAATCCGGTCAACAAATGTCTTCAGAAGTTGGATATGTCAGCCGAAAGGTGCAGATATCGCGGCCCTGCTGTAAAGAGCACAATGCAGTTACACCTTCGGATGAACTTAGAAGAAGAAGACATGATAGAGTAATCTGAGGAGGACATCAAAGGAGCTGTTAATGTTGGTTTAAGATAGACACGTTTCACATGGATTAACTGAGTCTTTGCTGCAATTGGGGATTAAGGACAAAAAGGAAGGTGCAGCATAATCCATGTGATTTACAACTGCAACATTTAAAAAAAAAAAAATAATTACACAAATTGTACTTTTCTTTTCCCCTAATAAAACTAGTCATGTGATCATAAAATATATTTCATATTCTAAAGCGGTTTTTACAGATACAAGTAGCACCTCTAAGCTGCAGACCTTCTGGCATTTTATCTGCTGTATGCTATTTCTGGTCGGCTCTGTGGCTAAGTCGATGCGGATGCATCATAGTGCCGGGTTTGATCCCAGCTTTGGGCCATGTGCCGTGCGTTGGTTTCGACAGTGGTATCAGGGGGCCGAACGTTCAGAAGGCAATGGCAAACTACTGGACATAAATTTGCCTAGAGAAACCACACAACAGCCAGGGGCTGCTGGTTCTGCAACGTCCTGTAAAGGATACGCAACTAACCTTATGGTATTTCTAGAATATTTCCTCAACTTGGATTTGTTTGTCTGTTTCAGTATGTTATGTCTGTTATATGTTGATACTTCACATGCATCCTGCCAAATAAAGCTGTGTGAAATAAACTGATCTTGGTGTGTTTTTCTAGACAACTAAAGACATGTCAGCACTTGATGGTTTGCTGACGCTGAAGTCAAAGGTTCCACTGACCAAATCTACACAATCCCTCAGAAATCTTGGGCTATTATTTTTGAGGTAAGTTGTATGTGTGTCAGCTCTGTGGCTAAGTCGATGAGATTGCTTCCTAATGCCGGGATGCGGGGTTCGATCCCGGCTGCGGACCATGCACCTTGCGTTGGTTTCGACCGTGGTATCAAAAAAGCCGACCGTCCAGAAAGTAATGGCAAACTACTGGACATAAATTTGCCTAGAAAAATCACACAACAGCCAAGGTCTGTTGGGGTTGGTTCTGCAACGTCCTGTAAAGGATACGCAACTAACCTGTATGTGTAAATTTCAGTGAGCAACAAATATTCTTTTTCGGTGTGTAGACTTAAGAAAAAAATATGATGCTCCAAGAAACCTGTTGAAGCTGTCAAATTGAAAACTTACTGACAACTGGTAACCTTTTAAGAATAAGATCAAAAGACAGAGTGCAATTATTACATTAATACCTAGCTTGTTTGTTTAGCCACATGGCATAGGGGAGATAAAAACCCAGACCTCAGCCATGATTCCCGTGACTGTGTGAGATAAGCTACCAGAATGGTGAGTCACTAACTGCAGCCATCACTTTTCGTTGATCTCGGAAAAATTCATGAAGTCTCCAGTGTGCTTTGGTTGGCACCAAGTTAGGTCAGGCTGCCATGCTTAGGCACTATGGTACTGGATAATGCTTGTTCACTTGCAGTGTGTGATCATCTGCTGTCTTGAATCTTCTAACCATCTGGCATGGTCATCGTGCCTCACCATTGTCTTGTTTCATTCTTTCACTCCATCCAAGATGCAGAAATCTCCAGTATATTTTCTTGTTTCTCATAATCTGTCCCTTTTTTCCCCCAGTAATCTTGCCAGTCATTAACTATGTGTTCCAGTTATATCTATATATTATGCCCTACGAAATCTGCTAAAATCAGTCTCTGTCTCCTAACACCTAGATCAAAATACAAAAAAGACTGATAAGGCCAATTGTTTTACATAGCTGTGAAACTTGGACACATCTAAAAGAGATAACGATTATAACTTTTTGAAAAAGAGTTTTAAGACAAATCTTTAAACCAATCAAAGATGTAGACAACGGAATAGAGAGGGAGAAGCAACAATGAAATTCATAATTTGTTCAAATCACCATTCATCACTGACATTATGAGATCTAATAGACTGAAATGGCTGAGACATATTGAAAGAATATTAGATGACACCACGGTAAAAATTATACACAATGGAGCTGAATGGTTGTAGACCATGAAGCAGACCAAGAAGACGATGGAGAGATAATATCCAAACAAACATACAAACACTTGGTGTCACCTACTGGAAAGAGAAGGCCAACCAGAGAGATAAATGGAGACAGGTGATATCTTCAGCAGTAAACCTCAAGCGTTTGGAAGGCTGAAGAAGAATAAACAAAAATTCTTATATCCTCATAACATGGCCCAGAAATGTGGCTATTCTTTATTATGTTTATGATGCCCTTTCTTTAGGTTGTAGCTTCTCTCAGAACTTTTTAAGTGTTCATGTTGTGTTAGCAGGGGGCACAAGGACAAATAGTCACATGTCATCTAGCCAATTGTTGTTAGGTGTTACAACCTCTTGCCTCTTTTTATAGAAAACATTGGCTGCACAATCTCAACAAACACGAATCATTTTTAGAACTGAAATAAAATCAGCCAATCAGGGCTCTTCCCCTAGATGACTGACTTACAGTACAGAAAGGTGAAAGGGACCTGGACCACTGATTTGCCTTCTTTCACTTTAAAACCCATTGTGATACCTAGGATGTCTGAACCCATTGTGATGCCTAGAATGTCTGAACCCATTGTGATGCCTAGAATGTCTGAACCCATTGTGATACCTAGAATGTCTGAACCCATTGTGATACCTAGAATGTCTGAACCCATTGTGATACCTAGAATGTCTGAACCCATTGTGATACCTAGAATGTCTGAACCCATTGTGATACCTAGAATGTCTGAACCCATTGTGATACCTAGAATGTCTGAACCCATTGTGATACCTAGAATGTCTGAACCCATTGTGATACCTAGAATGTCTGAACCCATTGTTTTACCTAGAATGTCTGAACTCATTGTGATACCTAGAATGTCTGAACCCATTGTGATACCTAGAATGTCTGAACCCATTGTTTTACCTAGAATGTCTGAACCCATTGTGATACCTAGAATGTCTGAACCCATTGTGATACCTAGAATGTCTGAACCCATTGTGATACCTAGAATGTCTGAACCCATTGTGATACCTAGAATGTCTGAACCCATTGTTTTACCTAGAATGTCTGAACCCATTGTGATACCTAGAATGTCTGGACCCATTGTGATACCTAGAATGTCTGAACCCATTGTTTTACCTAGAATGTCTGAACCCACTGTGATACCTAGAATGTCTGAACCCATTGTGATACCTAGAATGTCTGAACCCATTGTGATACCTAGAATGTCTGAACCCATTGTGATACCTAGAATGTCTGAACCTATTGTGATACCTAGAATGTCTGGACCCATTGTGATACCTAGAATGTCTGAACCCATTGTTTTACCTAGAATGTCTGAACCCACTGTGATACCTAGAATGTCTGAACCCATTGTGATACCTAGAATGTCTGAACCCATTGTGATACCTAGAATGTCTGAACCGTTAATGATATGGGAAAGGCAGCTCAGGTGACAGGAAAATATGGGGCACACGATGGAATAGTGCAGGCTTGAAGCTTCTAATTGCAGGAAAGACAATCTTTTTTTTTTTCTTGGGCTTTAGTGGCGGAAAATACTGTCAAGAGTGAAGGCGTTGCTCTGCTGCTTGCTATCCACAGGTGGCACTAAAAGATATGGAGACATTCAACCTTTCAATTTTTATAAACAACTTGACAATTTATATTCTACATATTTTGCCTTTTTTTAAAACATTCAGCACATCAGTGATTTGTATCCAGATGTTATTCAGTTAGCTCTATGAAATTAGTTTTCCTTATATGAAAGCTTACCAAGATATTGTATACATAAATTGAGTACATCAATGAAGAAAACTTCGCTGTTGATAATGGACAAGAACCATTGCTTGTCTTCTGTAGATAATGAGCCATTGACAGATGCAGACACAATGTTTTTGCTGGGTGTTTTCGCTCATGTGCTTGACAGTTTCCGTATCTTTTCCATTATTTGTATTACAGGACGACATCTACCCTGATTGAGGAGCATGCCATATTTTCTGATGAAAAACTGTAAGATGTTGCTCTGAATTTTTTTTTCTTCATTTTTGATTTGATGTTTCAAATTGTAGAACAGTTTTTATTAAAAGATATGTTAACGTTTTTTTTTCTATATAAGCTTAGAACAGTTGCGCTCTGTTGATGTCTACTCTGAAATGTCTTTGTCAGCTCTGCTGTCTATTTGCTTTCCTGCAACAGATAGTGTCATCCTTCCTTTTATTTCTTGCAGTGAAGAATATTTAGCATTCTGACCTTATGTGTTCATGTAATCCTCCCATAGGATGTCCATCCCCGGTCATGATTTTAATCATTTATTGCAGTGTCCATATATTTGATAAATATATTTGTGCAGTTTGCATTTTTGTTTTATCATACCATTGTATCATATAAATTCTTTGTGTTTGAGAGAAATTAAGCAAATTTTTGCACACTTACTTAGTTGATTCTAACATTACTTTCTGTTGTTCACTGTGTTGTCTCTCAGTTGAGATATAGCTTTGTTTGTTCTCAGCTTATATTTAAGTAAGTAGGCAGCCATCTTTTTTGTGTATATTTAGGATTGTTTTCTTCCACACATCTGGTGATCAGAGAAGATAGGCCATGAGAAACTAGGAGATTCTGTACAGTTATTTCGGCACATTTGCACTTTATTTTCAATCTGTCTTGTATGATCCTTCATTTGTATATTATTGTAATATTCTTCAGTATTCAGCTCATCCAATTCAGTGTAGTTTCATTCCTGATGTTTTGACATTCAGGCCCTGTTTGCGACATTAATTGCTCTTGGAGTGACAAAATGTATTAGATATATTGTTTGACAAATCTGAGTGTTTCTGTTAAATTTAACAATTTATTGTATGAAACTAGCATTTAAAAAAATTCAGGCATTCTATGAAATCATTAATGTTTCTGAATTCCTGAAATATTTCAGAGCACTGCAGATGCTGAATATTGTGAAAGACTTCTGGTCATTGTTGTCCAGTCAACATGTGGTGTTAACACAGCAGGTACTCTTGGTACAAAGTTTTTCTCATTTTTTAAAGGTTTTTTTTTTGGGGGGGGGGGGGGTGGAGGCAAATAGGCTCAGCTAGAATTCAGTATGTAAAACATTGGAAAGGGGGAGGGGGGGGGGTGTGTGTTTAGAAGTCAAAATTTGAATCTGACCTGTAAAATGAAAATGTTGGCAACCTATTTAAGTCTGTATGAAAATATTGGTTAAAAATTGTCAGAAATATGTTGGTCCCTGGTTAGTTGTTGGTCAAGTATCCAGATGGGTTACCCAATAACTGCTCTGCCCCTTTGCCGGTGAAAATCATACAATATGTCCTTCACTGTCCCAAGGGAAAACTGCTTTTGTTAATTTCCTGGGGAACATGTATTAAAGATGTTTTTGTGTGTTGCAAACAAAAAACTTTTCAGAGCATCAGCGGGGTATTGGCCATTTGAACTGGGAGTCCCTGTTGAGAAATATATACACTGCCTAAACAGTAAATCATGTTTCTAGAATTGATTAACAGTCTTGTTGTATGTATGTTCAAAGCACATAGATGACAGTTAACTGTTCTTAAATAAGAATGAGAGAAATGTAGACTTGTTTTATCACTGCTTCTGTACACCTTTCTCTAATGGAATCTTCTGTGTGCTGCAGACTTGCTGTAGGTCAAGAATATTTATAGTAAATGGGAATCAGTTTACAGACATCTGAGTCCTGACTGACAGTACAAGATGCATGTGCTCAGAGCTAGTCTTGTTTTGTGTTCTACACTCCAGGAGATATCTTTGTTCAGGGACACTGGTGTTTTGTAAACCAAACCATACATTCATGACCAACACATGCCCCAGAAGAGGATGGATAGACAGTGCACAACTAGGTCTACAAACATCTGAATGTTGTGGGCTGGAGCATTATCAAAGCAGAAATAAATGGAAGCAAATTGTGCTTATGGCAAATAGCTTTACACCTGGGAAGCTGAAAAAGTAGACAGCACTTACGACACAGAGTGAGATGGACAGTTGTAGTACACATTGTCAGTTTTAACATTGTTCTAGGTTAATTTATATCAAGTTGCTAAAAAATGCTAAAAATCTGTCTATAATTAATATCTGAATACATGGTTTATCTCAAAACATTTTTTTTTAATCCCATTAATTTTTCAAGTGAGATGCATTTTTGTTTCTGACACATTATAATTTTGTTATCCATAAATTTTCTAGGCATATGGAAGATATGGTGCTCTGTTGTATGAGGTGTTGCCATCACTGGCTTCAGTGTACATCGATCTGTTCATAGCTGTGCACAGGTAGTGAACAATAGTTATGTTTATTAACAGTTTAACACATATGTAAATTATGTCAGTTGAGATATTCTAGAACTTGGTATAGCATTAATAGTTTGTGTCCATAATTTCAGCTTTATTTAGTCAAATATATTTATTTATTTTTTCTATAAAAAAAGTGGATAGGATGAGGCTTTGTATTAATCAATTTTTCAGCTGCCTGTCTACGACCATCAGTGGCTTTGAGTGGTCACTTAGCTGACCGAATTTATATATGGGTGCCAGATTATTTCTGGGATTTATCATATCTTATGGCCTAGAATGTGTGAAGACCTAATACTTCAACACCTAATATCTGCCATGGGGTTACCTTGAATACATGATTGTACTCCTGATAAAGAACAGGTTTAAAAGGTTGCTTCTAAGATTGTATTTGAACGCTGTTGTTTTTTATGCAGGAATGACCAGAAGAAATCAAACCAGGAACAGGATCATAAAAAAAGAAATCAGCATTGAATAAACTCTGGATTATATACATAAACAACAAAATGGTTTGCCCAAGTCAAGAGAGTGCCTTATGTTGCCATACTGTACAAAGCATATACCAAAAGAGAAGAAAGACGTATAGCCCACGTTAGACCAAGAACAAGGTGAAAAGATAACATCACAAACATGAAACAACTTTGTCAAGTGTCGGGCTGAGGCAGCTATAAGTCTGTATCTAACACCAGAGACAGTAAAAAAAAAAGAAATGAAGAAGAAGAAGAGTGTGGTAACAGTGCTGTACTCCTTTTGGATTGCATGTCATGCTAATTAAAAATATGTTATTATAATTGAAAACACTGATCATTTCCAGCACAAAAAGCACTGTGGGTAAAGCTGCTAAGAGGCTGTACAGCTGGCTGATGTTTGAACTCAATGAGCGATCTATTAAGACAGCTTTATTGGAAGCCTGTGAGTGCACAGCTTCTGGAGCCAGGCTTGTGTTGCCTGTATTGAGGTAGATCACTTTATTGACCATCATTTCTGCATTGCCTTTTGTATAAACTATGACAAAATGTACTCAGTTTTGTGTCACCATCCATCACTTTGTGTGAATTCTTAACCCTCTGATTTTGTTACAGTTATCTTCCAGTGTGGGTTCTGAGGGAAGAAAGAATAGACCTATTGTTCCCTAACAGGTATGTCCAACAAGGCAACTAATCAGGGGTATCTCCTTCAAAGTCTGAGAGGTGAGGAATCAACAGTCTGCATACAGATAAGCTGCATCTGTAAAACAGAAGTGCAAAACTCAAGTTCTGGCACAAGCCAAAGTCCAGAAGTGGATGAACAACCATAGTTTTTCTCAGGGGTTTAGAGCCAGGGAATACAAAGAAGATTACAGTTGTCAAAACTTACGATGTAATTTTTTCTCTGGCTATATAATGATTGAGGAGCAGCTGGCTGAGCAGTTACAACATCGGGCTCTCATGCGGGGAAACCCGGGTTTGACCCCCGGTAAGTGATGGAGTTTTTCTGTCGGTGGCAGAATTCAATGTCCTAACCTATATAGTCCATGGCGACAGAACTAGCTGTCTGGCCCAAATCCTCAGGTTCACGCCCCCTGTCTACACCGCACTAGAAAGTGGTGCACACAAACAGTAGTGACAACAGCAACAGTTTATATGATGAATAGTTCTACATCTGTTGAACAGTAAATTTTGTAGATATGGTCAAAGTGTATTGACCATGTCTTTGCGATGTATGTCACAGGTTTCATTTATATTTTGATGAAATCTTATGTTTGATACTTTAAAAAAAATGTTTATTTAATGTTATTTTTTCCCCAGAACTGTGCTCTCAAGTCCTTCAGCCAACACATCTAATTTAGACTATTTGCTGCATTTTATTCTGTTGAAGCGATGGTCTTTTATCTGTGCAGATCTGTGTGATCTCATCCAGGTGCAAACATGTGATAGTTTCTGTATTTCTTAAATGGTGTTTGTGTGTAATGTATGGTTGGGATCCAGGTACAAACATGTGATAGTTTCTGTATTTCTTAAATGGTGTTTGTGTGTAATGTATGGTTGGGATCCAGGTACAAACATGTGATAGTTTCTGTATTTCTTAAATGGTGTTTGTGTGTAATGTATGGTTGGGATCCAGGTACAAACATGTGATAGTTTCTGTATTTCTTAAATGGTGTTTGTGTGTAATGTATGGTTGGGATCCAGGTACAAACATGTGATAGTTTCTGTATTTCTTAAATGGTGTTTGTGTGTAATGTATGGTTGGGATCCAGGTACAAACATGTGATAGTTTCTGTATTTCTTAAATGGTGTTTGTGTGTTATGTATGGTTGGGATTAAGGTACAAACATGTGATAGTTTATGTATTTCATTGGTATCCAAACTGACTGCTGCACGTATCACTCAAGACTTACCACACACACTATCATGGAAAGACACACACTTCAGGTATTCACAGTTTAAAAACATGTCCTTACAATTCCTAACATGTCCTTCAGAAAAAGCATTTTGGCGAGCTGTCTTATCCTTTCATGTACTTTGTTTTGTTAATTGACAGGTCAGTGCATCAATTCAAGCACCTGGAGGGTTTTTAGAATGGCTTGTGCATCACTGGCCAGAGGCTGCCAAATACCTGCCCAGTGATAGAAGCCTCAAGGGTCGAAGGATCAGTGAATTCTTGCTAGAACTGGATCAGCAGGCTGTGGAAGAGCTAATTGATGTAAGTCATGATGTGTACACCCATGGCAGAGTGTGTGTGTGTTTTCCCCCAGCTAATTCTGTTAACAGGAAGTCTCCCTGATGCAGTATCATAGAACCAGAAGTAATGACATTTTGAAATTTCACAAATGCAGCACATTGAAACAGACCATCCCTGTATATGTTCCTTCCCTGAGGAGGGGAAGACAAGAATAGACCCACGGCTGAGAGCAAGGTCATTCCCCACCATCCAAGGAGGCTTACATAAATGCAGGGCCGATGCTTGGCGCAATGCTACCGGGCTCACCTAAAGAATCGTCATGTCCTGCACATGACTGCTTAACCTCACATCCATATATTAAGTCTTCAAATAATTGTGGTCTGCACCCTTTAGGGATCCTCATGAGACAGTCTGCAGACCTGAGACACAGATGGCATGCTTCTTCTTCAACATGTTAGATCGCTCTCTTTGATAAGGCCAACTTTCACATGAATGCCCTGGGCACTGTTTGCGGCATTTACGGGAAACATGCATTAGGCTTGGTTTCCCTGTATAGTCATTAAATTCTGACAAATGTAGCCAGTAGTAGCGAACATTTGAACCTTTTGTCACAAAGTAGAATCTCTGAGGGCGGTGACATCTGGAATTGTGCTGTCATACAGTAGGACTCAGTAGAAACAAAAATGTTAATGTAAATAAATATTTTACAAATTAAATTTATTAGTTGGCCTGGTTGTTTTTGTTTCTTAAGTTTTTTCTGTGGTGAAAGGATTAAATGTATAGAGAGAGGCATTAGTGTATTTAAAAAACAAAGCCTCACTGTCAACAGAATTAAATTAAACTGCATGCTATTCATGCAGATTGCGGAGTTAGAAAACTTACATGAAACCCCACATAATGGTTGGAGTGCAAATATTTGGAGAAAAAAAAACTCTGCATGTCTTTTCAGCATTTGTACTGTTTTTGGTCTGATTTTTTTTTTTTTTTATGAACTAACATAGTTAACATTTATCATTAGACATTTCAAGAAACAGAATTCCTATGCCAACATGCAGTATACACATCTACTCTTTTCTGTTATCTAGACCAACAGTTTTGTTACTATGATTTATAGATATATCCACATAAACAACACATATATATCAAGCATGATTAGATCGTGTATTTGAGTTCAGTTATTTGCCAGATTTTATATTTTTTTCCTCTTGAACATTTCTTTAGGTTTTTTCCGAGGCTTTGTCAGTAGAACAGACATCGGAGCAAGACACAGATAGGGTGAACAAGAAAATGGCAGATGAAGCAGTGACAGAGGCACCATTCTTTATAGACAAAACAGGAGGTGATAAAGATGAGGTTGGTAGTGCTTATTTAACTGCTTTTCCATAATGTATTTAAATAATGCAGACATAAACATAATAATTACACACAATAGTTTTTAAAACATATTCTTTGAATAATGGGGACAAAAACAATAAATTGCACAATTTATTGAAAGGCAAATCTTACCAGGTGCATTTATTCAGAGTTATATCAACATTTAATGAAGCATGAAAACTGAATTAATTCCACTGAAAAACTTATCATATGGTCTTTTGTCTGAAGTACTATAGGACATCATTTGCTTATTTCCGAACATGTAACTGACATGGACAGTGCCTTCCGTGTTGTTACCCTACACCAAACAGGTGAATGACAATAAAAGTGAACAATCCTCATTATGTAAACAGAAGGAGTGTGTTATAAATTTGCAGTTACACTGGTAAAAGTCACATGACCGTCAAGAACTTCTGGTGACTAGACGAACAGTGTATCACGAGAGATCTGTTGCTGTGTATTTCAGTGGAATTAATTAATTTTTTTTTTACTTCATTATGTGTTGGTGTAACTCTGTAGTAGTGCAGCTGACAAGATACAGTGAAATATGCCTAGCATTGTACAAATTTTTTTTTAGTTTTAGCATGTTAAATTCTACATTTTCTTGATTTGCACAATTTATTGAAAGGCAAATCTTACCAGGTGCATTTATTCAGAGTTATATCAACATTTAATGAAGCATGAAAACTGAATTAATTCCACTGAAAAACTTATCATATGGTCTTTTGTCTGAAGTACTATAGGACATCATTTGCTTATTTCAGATGCAGCTGAAAACACGACAGCAATATTTACAAAACAACCAAAGAGAAAGTGGCAGCAAGAAAAATATGCACTTCTCAAAAATTCATGATAGACAAAGTCAAAGAGACGCAGACATCTCTATGTTGTCAGGACAGATGGGTGACTCTAGCTGTTGCAAGGCATATGAAGAAGAAGCAAGAGGTAACACAGATAGTTTCTTGGACTTTTCTGTTGAAGAATCAGCGATTGAAGAAACTGAATTTCATAGAACTGAAACTATACAGCTGTTAAAGAAGAAAAGGAAACTGTCATACACTGAAGACAGTACTGACATGCTGTCGGCTGATAATAATATCAGAGAAACACAGGTAATGACAGTAGAAGATACAGACTGCAAGGATGCTGACTTGATTGTAGGAGTTGAATCCAGAAAGGATGGAGATGAGCCAGAGTCAATGGATCATGAGACAGACTACACATGGGAAAGTACCAGCTATAATGACAGAATTGCTAAGGTGCCTGAAAGTCAGGCAAAGCCAGATATTACAACTGTTAAAACTAGAAGCATTTCGGTTCACAAAAGTGCAGAAGTTAAGAACTCCCAGACAGACAAGGAAAATGAATGCTGTAGTAATGTAATAGCATCTGCAAGTGAAAGCAAGACTTCTTTGAAGAAATATAAGGAGAATCCAAAAACCCACAGAAATGATGCAGACTTGAGTAGTGGTGTCGATGATACTCCAACTGTAAACCTAGATACACAGCCCAGTCCTCACCTCACAAGTGGTCTTCACACAGTTTTACGCAGCAACATTTCACCACATTCTTCATTTACTGACCAGATTGTTAAGAACAAGAGAATTGCCAGTCCAAAAGTAAACAGAATACGAACACGCAGTTTTACAGAAACTGACAGCAGTGAAAAATGGTCCAAAGAAATTTCCGGTGCTTCACAACTGTTTGAAAATACAAAAAACACAGTTTCAACAACAGATGGCAGCAACACAGAATATAAGGTGGGGCTGATGCTTTCAACAATTCGTAAGTCAATGTCTGACAGGAAAAGAAAACCTGAGGAGATAACTGACACCTTCCAAGTGAAAACTAGACTTAGAACTAAATCAGCACAGGCTGATCATCTGCATGAAACCAGAAGCAGAAACCGCTCAGTTACAGCAGCAGAAGATGGCCTTAAGAACTGGCTTAGACAGTCAGCCAACAGTGCACTGAAGAATCAACCATATCCAGAGCATTTGAATCATGAAAATAAAGAGGCGACAAAATCTTCCATCAAGAAAGCCATAGCTAAGGACACTACAGCAACTGAGATTGAAGGACTAAGAGATATTTTTGGGCCACCTTTAAAAACCTATTCCAGAAAAGATTGTAAGAAATTTGTCACAGACAACACAAAAGTTAATTTAACCCCAGAATTAAAGATGGTAAAGAACAAATCACCCAAAAAGAAAACTGCTATAGACAGCACAGAAGCTAAGTCAACTCCAAAACTTACGGTGACCACGCACAGACCACCCAAAAGGAGCAGCGAGGAGCCTGAACACAGACGTTATTTCCTGAGAACTAACTGCTCACACAGATTACTCACAGAGGACACTGTATGTCCATCGTGTTCACCTACTACAAAAGTCTAACCAGGGAAGTAGTGGCTGGGGACACAGGTTTAACAAAGTATAAGATGTAAAATATATTGATTATTAATCACTCAAGTCATGTAACGCCTCCACAATAAATGAATCTATCCAAAATGGACACTGCTGCAGTCAGGAAAAACCCTTTCTTCCCACTTCCTTGGGAACCAGCGAAGAGTTCACATTTTAATTGTGCCATCTGCAACCTGAGTAAAAGCCTGTCTTTTTCCCTGCATGTTGAAAGTTGTTCAGACGCTTTGCTGACTTAGCCTCTCTAGATATGCATGAATATTCATGACCCAGAGGTACACTGAAGCTTGTTTGCAGTGAATCTGTCTCTTCCCCTAATTGCACCCTCTCAGATCGCTTATCTTTTGATGTTATAATCCCATTTGTATCATCTGCCTTAAATTATTCCTTGCCGTTTCTTTTGAAATGGCTGACGTATGTCATTTGTCTATTTTTATTTGTGATTTCTTCAAACTCATTTCATTGCCTGGATCGCGTATTTCTAAAATTCCTGGAGAATTTCTTTAAAAGCAATCATTTTACACTTGTCACAAACGATATTTGTGGACCAAAAAATACCATTCACTGAAGGGAACTATTCTTCTTTTTCATTCGCTAGAGTGATGTAAATGTGTTGTGCCTGTTTACAGCAAAGCTGTGATATTTACGCCTTTCAGCCGACACATCCAACTTCATTTGTTCACTGGGTTAGCCTTCCTGGTTGGTTTCTGGGACGTGGCAAAGCCTCATTTGTGTGGTATTCTCTTTATCCTTTTATTTACAAGTGTTGCCCCTTGAAGACCTGTCCAGGGCGCCAACAAGTATACAGGTTAGCCCTTTAGGGAAGGCAGGGGCAGATCATGGGCATTCCCTGCCATCCAAAAAGGCTTCCTTAAATACAGAGCCCACTCTTGACATTCTGGTGCTGGGCTCACCGAAGGAATTCCCATGTCCTGTTTGACCTCTTGCTAATGTTTCGAGCTTCCCGCTCATCGCGGACTGTGCCCTATGGAGATCAGCAGGAAACAGTCTGCAGGTCCAGGGCTTTGATCGCCACACAAATGGGCACATTAGACAGATATAATGTTGCATTGGGAGCAGCCCACAGATCTGGAACTTTCGCTACCACCCACATGGTAGCAGTCTCCTTTAGCATGTTAGACACCCATGTTGATGCGGTCAACAATGCTTTACTTCACCTAGGGGACAACATTTGAGTTTCATCTAATGTTTGAGTTGTGGCTCTTGTTCACAGTTTTTTCTTGTCAGTGTCTCAGAGATACTTCAGTGAAGCAATCTTGTGTATTTTTGTTCATATGTGTGTGACAATGTGATACTTACCAATGTAACAGATAATAAGACTGTCATACAGAATAATTGTTTAGAAAGAATTAAAGTCACCAATACTACAGCAGTTTAGACCAGTGGTTCTCAAACTGGGTGCAAGAGCATATGCCAGGGGTGTGACATTAAAGAAGGCAAAAAAATACTTGAAGGTTACAATTTAAGTTCTTTCCTCACCACTGTTGAAAAGAGTTGATTCCTTGTTTCATACTAAACATGTATCAACTGCATAAAATGCCAACCATAATCTGCTAAGAATTGTCCTTGTATTTATCTCGTGTGGCCGATCCTTCATCTTTATTCATAAAGGTGCAGTGAATAAGTAGTATTGTGATTACATTTTGACTAAAATGTTTAGGTGGAAAATGTCTTTAAAGTAGCAACTGTAGCCCGGTTAAGCAAGTATTTTTTAAATGTGTTTTTGTGCGTGTGTGATCAGGCATTTTATCCTTCTTTTAGGGCTGATTTGAAGATCTTGCCAACGAGACTATAAAGGTGTGTTTTAAAAATAAAAAGGATATAATGACAAATTCATCCAAAAAGTTTCATCAGTCGCATTAAAGACAAGACAACTGAACATTAAATCTCCACCGTTTTTGTTCCCTTCTTCCCCTAGTTTTTTTAACCACTTTGTGTGTAGGTGTGCAGCAGTAAATTTTTTTTCTGTTGCCCAAGGGTGCCGCGGCAAAAAAAGTTTGAGAACCCTTGGTTTAGACACCTGTGATGCAGCCTCATGACGGCTTTCTAGTCATAAAGTTCACTATGTGACTGAAGCTGATTGATTCTACTTTTTGCTTGGTTGGATATTTTGTCATGACAATGTGTTTGGCTGTCTGATTGATTCTACTTTTTGCTTGGTTGGATATTTTGTCATGACAATGTGTTTGGCTGTAGTAGGATTGAGTTTACATTTATTCACAGGGGAAACAATTGTGACAGTTCTCATATTTAGATATTGGATATGTTTCTCATGTTGAAAACATTTTTACTTTTTTTTTAAATGGAAATTAAACATAACAAAAACCTAATGCAGGTGTTGTTTTTTTTTAAATAAAGATTATTGAATGAGAAAATTGGAACAAGGGGCAGGGAAAGACAGAGAGAATATGGATTGAAGGAGTCAGTGACACCTTGAGATTGCATAACATCACGGCATATGAAGCAACTGAGCATGCATAGACAGATATTGACCAAAAATGGAATGAGGAAAAACAGTCCTCGCACAAGGCACCTGTAATGGATTTGGGGAAAAAATAATCTTCACGTCCTCTTGTGTCGAGGGAAATATAAGGTCCTGCTTCGGGCTCTTATGCCTACTTCAACCATAGTGCTGTAGAGTTCCTCTGATGTTATCTTCCCATCTTGTTCTACATCATTTTTTGCCTTGTATGGTATAGCATCAGAGAGCATTCTCTCCAAGTAGGCAAACCATTTGATTTGCTTTCTTTGTATGTAATTTAGAATTGGTACAGTGCTAACGTAATCTCTTCTGGTCACTTTAAGTCTTTCTTACTAATTTTCATTTGTTTTGATGTGAATGACCATGTCTGACACTGAAAGCATATGGTGGAAATCAATATGCTTTGAAAGAGATGTTTGTTCTGATTGGATTGCCTTAAGCCAGGGCTATTTAACTAAGTTTGCCCGTGGGCCAAAATGTTGAAGATGGAGATCGTCACGGGCCAGTAGCCCGTTCAAACTAGATTTAAACTACTCGAAAACTAATACGCTTAGGAGTTTTTCTTGAAAATCTTTATTCAATGCATTGGAACTTTGGATATACACAAGTTGTGACTGCAGAGAATCTTCATCAACAGAGGATATCAACTTCTTAGCATTGGAAGAAAAATCACATCCAGGGATTTTAAAAAGGATCTCGAATTTTGCTATTTGAACGAACAGGAAACAAACTTTTACCCTGATCTAATAATTAATTTTTCTGTTTCTATGTCGGTATCTTCGCACTTACAGATTCCTGACAAACACTTCCTATTGAAACATTCTTCACAATCGATTTTTAAAGAATATACAGAAACATTGATTTAATTTTTTTAAAAATAACATTTCGTTATTTTGACAAAGATCGACAGGCCACTTGTTAGGCCTCGGCGGGCCAGATTTAGCCCGCATAGCCCTGTCTTATGAGGAGCTCTAGCTGTCCCAATACTTGGGCTGCCTGCACTGTATATTAATTTCTTCAACATCTTCAGTGAATGTTGTTCCAAGAGATTTAAACTCGGATGCCTGTTTAATTAATATGTATAGGATATTTTGGAGTTAAAATAAAATTGTTAAACCTTTATAAAAGTGGGTTCACCCATTCCTACTAAAATCTACGTTACTGGTCTGCCGAAGAAAACAGGCACTTTAAATTGTGAAGACTATCATAGCACAATTTAACTGATAATAATTATGAGAATATAAAACGATTAAACTAGAAATTAGTTAGTACACTGCTTTTGTGGAAGTAACAGTACAAACAATGCTATATATATCCTCAGAACTTTTTCAGAAGCCGTAGACGTAAAAAAAAACGTATGTGCTTGATGCCTTCATCATATCACATCCACTATTCTTTTCTTGGAAATCACCCTTACTTCTCTTTCCATTATTCAAACTGGGACCCATTTTATCACTTTTTACTACTGCATATAACAGTTTCTGCACTTGTTTTCCTAATGTGTCGCCATTGCCATATGTCATCAGCATAATCTGTGTTGTTTGGAGTTATATCTATTATACCACAATTCCTAGCCTGTGCAGTGTCACTATTTTAATATAGCATTAGATTATCAAGTGCTTTGCTGACTGGCATGGGTGATCATGCCTCTCTGCAACTGCGTGTATTAGTTCATGTACTGACACCCCTTTATGTCATGACAAAAGGACTATCCTCCAAATAACGGTCCTAAATTATCGAGGCAGAAAATATACTCATAACAGGGCCTCAGTCGGGTGTCAATTGCGCACTTCTAGTATCCCAATGAGTCCCAGCTATCTAGTTTAGCCCCAATCCATGTGGCGTGGGGAATACTCTTGGCGGTGGCAGAGGTCGCCAGACTGAGACCCTGTAAGGGTATATTTTCTGTCTTGATAATTTAGGACCATTATTCGGAGGACAGCCGACGAAAGACTGCCTAGAATCTTCTCCCTTTCCATATAACATGACTAAAAAAATGACTGATGTTTGTGATAAGTCTTCAAGCAATCGCCTCTGGGTTATTGTTAGCACTCAAGGCATTCTACGGATTCTTCTGCAAAACCACATTTCCGCAGACTTGTTTTCAGCCTGTTTATTATCCAGGATTCACAGCTGTGCACCCCATTTAACATGGACCCCTGACAATAGTGCTGAAGTCTTCCCCTTATTACTTGTTGACCTTGGTCTTCCTGTAACAATTCTCCATGGTCAGCAACACTACAAAGGCACAATGGTTCCCTATGCCATAATGCAGACAGCGCTAGCACATATTTTCAAACCAAAAGGCACCCAGGCCCATTGGTCAAAATACTGTACACTACATGTATATTGTATTTTGTGCAGACTCAATGCAAACTACTTTGAAACAAGTGACAAAGAAAAACGAAAACAAACAAAACACTTCACTAATGTTTTATTGGAAATCAATAACTTTAGAACACCATTTTGTGGGGAAACTGGTGGTTGGACAAAGAGAACAAAGCTCCAAGGTAACCAAAGATAAGTTTCTTCTCAGGGTTCTTGCGAATAACATCCAGAATCTGGCGGTCGACAACAGCCTGATCCTCCTTGCGTTCTTCATTGACGGCATAAACCTAGGAATCAAACCAATCAATTATAAACATTCTGTAGCAATGTAAGAGAAAGGTAATAAGGAACTAAAAAACAACTTGTATCAGTGCAAGCTTAGATGCCTAAAACTAGGCTATCACTGAATGCTGCATCTGCTTTATGATATAACACACATTTTCCCCTGATCTTAGAATAAACACATGGACCAGTCTACTTGTGTGTATTTAAAGTGAGAAAAACCATTATATCAATAGGTCAGATTACAAATCAAACAAATATACTACAGACATTAAGACAAAATGATAAGAAACATCAGTTTACATATTTAGGTAGCAATATTAGTGCTAAAAAAAATGATATGCAATGGCGAGGCTGCCATATTCCTGAAAAGCCAAATGAACACAATATGAAAGTTTTGAATCCATATTTTGGGATATTTACTTTCGTTTTCTTTTTAATCCATTAAAAAAATTAAATGAGTAGGGTTTTGAAACTTAAAGTCGTTACAGGTGGTTGCTACACATAAAGTAGTTAGCATCCTTTTGCAGACATTTTCTCCAGGTCATGCCAGTGTTGGGAAATGAGCAGACAGGCTGTTCAGTTCTACACCACTTGGTGGTGAACTGATGTATGAAAAGCTGAGTTTTGTGAGGGTCCCTTAGGAGCGAGTGAACAGTGCCGAGGCACAGGTAGATCATTACTACTGGTCTGGTTTTCATTATCAGACATGATAAAAATTGTTGAAAGTGCGCTGATAACGAAAATTATCAGTTTCACTGAAAACAATGCTTGTATCAGCTCAAAGCGGTATCAATCGTGGGCGCAGCCACCCTAGAATAATAAAAACACTCAGATGCAGGTCAATAAAAAAAAAAACTATAGGTAAAGACGCCGTTCGGCAGACTACATGCCGCGGAATTTGACGATTGTCAAAGTTGCCCACAGGGGGATATGGCCTAAAGCTGGTCAGTAAAGTGTTAAACTAATGTGCATTCTTACCTCTTTCTTGGTGTTGAAAATGTCACCTTCTGCATGCTTAGGTTTCTTTAACTTCTGTCTCTTGAAGTAATCATCGTTAACACGTTCTGGAACCTTCACGTCCTTGATGTCCAGTTTTGTTTTAGTGGCAATCACGTAACACTGATTTATCCTTCGCAGGGGGCAACCATTCAAGTGGTAGGGTCCTTAAAACAAAAAACTATTTTTACACTTCATGCAAAGTATTCATAAATAATACATTAGGTATACATTAGGACTGGACATACATTAAAAATGGTTTATCTCATTATTGCCCTTTGTAACATAGGGCTTCCTGTCTTCTTTTCTGTGCAAACAATTCAAATATTATGGATATAATTCAGTCCAGCACCTTTGGTCTCAACACCTGTTTTAGGGTTTTACTTTGATATTACCTCCTTAATCCTGTTTTATTTCTCATGTTAGATTCTCTGTTACATCTCCAGTTGTGCCATTTCCTGTGTTAATACTAGTTCCTCCGAATAACAGTCCCAAATTATTGAGGCTGAAAACATACTCTCAGCCACATGTTAATTGCGACCTTCAGCCGACTTAAACTGCGAACTTCCGAGTATCTCCAATGCCACTGAGCGGAGCTAAACTAAATGGCTGGGACTCACAAGCAGCAGCTTCCTTCATTTAATTTGCTCGCCCCAGCCGTCTAGTTTAGCCCCACTGCAAGCTTTGATGCCTAAAATCAGACGATCACTAAAAGCTGCATCTGCTCTATGATGTAACACACATTTTCCCCTGATCGTAGCAGCAACATAGACCAGTCTACTTGTGTGTATTTAAACCTAAATGGCAGGCACGAGTACAACCTGTGCTCACATTTTCTTGTTAAAAAATTATGTTCAAACAGAGCCATCACCACTGCGCACTTACCGGTAACAAGGAGAAGTCCAGAACGCAGCTGTTTCAGAAAAACGACCCTCTGAAAAAAGATTAAACATAAACATAAGATGTATTAAACAGCATCATTTATGTGCCTTCATTTTAAAAATTTGCCACACTGATGTTAAGATTATATTTTCTAGCAGAAAATCTCTCAACTTCAGTTGTACACATAATGTTAACGAATTTAGCTCCAAATAGAATAAAGGAACCCACAAGATAACCAAAGATGGGGCTAAGCTGCACATGATAGCAAAGGTTAGGAGAACATGGTGTGATTTGGTTAACTGCAATAAGATTTCTCCATATTGTCTCAGCATTTGAAAGAAAAGTTCTGGAACAATCAAGAAATATGTGCATGCCGCAATTGCATAGAAGCACCAGATGCAGGGTGCTTGTCAATAAAAGTAGTAGGGTATGTTAACTTGGCTATACACACGTAGAATCTTTACATAATGTATTTCATCAGCTCATTTGTCAGTTGATAAGAATGGTCAGAACATGTATCTGTCTTTTCACTTTCTACACCAAGCTATTGGCATCTATATTCGTACTGTATTTCATATCTTCATTTTCAGTCAGAATTTGGGATATCCTCCAAATAACGTTTCCCAAATTTTCGAGGTAGAAAATATACCCTTACAGGGCCTGTCACATTTAAACTAGTTACAGGCTGTGAGCGGCGCTAATATAGATGGCTGGAACCGACAAGCAAAATAAAAAAGGAAAGTCGCAGCTGCTGTCGTGAGTCCCAGCCATCTAGTTTAGCCCCGCTCCACGCATAGAGCAGCGTAGAAGATACTCTTGCGGTGGCAGCAGTCGCTGGAAGTTCACAATTTACTTGTGACTGAGGCCCTTGTACATATTCTCGATAATTTGGAACCTTTATTAGGAGGACAGCCAGAATTTGTGTTACTGGAAAAAAAACTAAAGATTCAAGAGCTCTAAGATAAGCACAATAAATAGTAAAAAAATACAAACCTTGCCCTTGTGTCTTCCAGCCAGAAGAATGAGGACTGTTCCTGGTGTGATTGAAGCCCTGAGGTTCCTCTTGTGGCTGCTGAATGGTTTCTTGCGACTGATCAGCTTTCTGGGCTTGTCTTCAGTTGGATAAAATCGAGGCTGTCAACAAAGTTGACTTTATTACTTAAATGACATGGCCAAACTAGGTACTCAAAAATATAAATCATATAGTAGTGTCACCAGTCTTCTGCCAAAAAAATCTATGATCCTCCATGTCATACTAAAATTGCCTCTGAAATATTTTCACAAATTATCCGGCTTCCCCCTACCCATAAGGTAAATGCCAGTTAAGTATCTTTAAAACAATGTAGAATACATATTAAGTCTTCTGTAACTGAGCTGGCATCTCAGTAGGTAAACAAACCAAGCAACTATGGGATACAATATCAGTGTACACAGAGCCATGGCCATGAAGGGAAGCTGCAGTCTAAAAACCCTGTAAGACGAAGGAAAAGAGCGGAAAAGGGAAATTTGACATTAGGTGCTGCATTGGTTCCTCTCCTTCCAGGATAATATCACCTCGTTTTAAACTGAGGGGCAGGTTTTGACTGGACAGACTATACTACATGTGTGAGTATAAGTGACTGCCAGTAGATTTCTGAACAGTCTAGACATACACGCCAGCCAATCAAGCAAAAACCTAGTGGGCAGCTTAATTGGTTGAAAATTGGTCTAGACAATGAAAACTGCAAATGGACAGCGAGTATGGTAGCAAATTATTGACTTATCTTGACAGTGCCAGATAAGTGGGTGCTTCTGATTGACCAGGTGTGGGGGTCTAAAAGACAGTAAATTTGTCATAAAGATCCCTAAACCAATAGATAAAACATGGTCATTCATGTGCCTGTAAAGAGAATATATGCAGTTATAAGACTGGGCTCTCCTTTAAATACCGATCGTTAGCTGGAAAGCAGACGGTCGCTTAGTGGTTAGCGTTAGGGTTAGATGTGGAAATTTTGACGGAGTTCCAAATAATGGCCGACAATGTGATGCTTGTGAGAGTGGCACCACTGGAATTCTAAATAGCGCGCAGCTGGTGCCCAATTGTCCCAAAAAAAAAGTGACCTGAAGTGTCACATGTAACCCTAACCATGCAAATTTATCGGTCATTAAGGCATACAGATTTGCAGGAGTCACATCCATGGCAACTAAGAGCACACACACACACATATATATATATATATATATATATATATATATATATATATATATATATATATATATATATATATATATATATATGGATATATTTTCTATAAAAAAAAACCAAGGCGTCAAACACCCAGATCTGGGGGAAAACGCCCAAGCATTGGCAGGCCTGATGTCTACCTCACTGTCTGTTTTGATTCGTGACAATGCAGCCAAGGGAGTAAACTCCCACTAAGCGACTGTCGGCTTTCCAGCTAACGATCATTATTTAAAGGAGAGCCTAAGACTGCCAGCTAAGTGTGTAACTGTACTTATACATTTTAAACTTATCAAGTGGGATGCAGTAAAATTATCTTGTTTATAGATGGCCATTGATTAGCTACCTGGTTAAGCATCCAACCTGAATGAACATTATGTTGGATGAATAAGACATGGCTATTGGACACAACGGGCACCCGTTAATCAGCGGTGGAAGATGCAACCACCATTTTTCTATACTTGTTACGAGGGAATCATTCACCCAAAGATCCTTTTAATTATTGATGATCTAGGAGGCAGCGGCTCTGCAACACTCCCCAGTCGCCAACCTTTTGCTTACATTCAACCTTTTGCTTACATTCAATTTTCACATAAACTTACCAATCTCTTAACGCGAACTTTTCTTTCTCCACCATTTTTGTCACCGCCAATTGACTTGGTGACAAACTTTGGTTGCTTGGGTGCTGGGGCCATCTGCAAATAAAATCAGTTTATTAGCCTCATGCTATCAGCAATTTTAATTTACCAAAATTAAAGCATCTGAATAATTCAATGATAATATCTCTAAATTATTGGCAGAGAAGTAACAGAAACACTGCTAGCGGCAAACAAAAGTATGTTACGAAATGTCCCCAAAAATCCTAAATGAGCCAGTAAACAGTTACAAGCCCTGACAACTGTAAAGTTTATCCAGTATATGGTCTTCTGAAATGACTTAGCAGTCTCCACCCACCCACCCCCCCCCCCCCGGCTTTCCACACACACATTGAGCAGTCACTTCATTCAGCTTTCATTAATATTCACAGTATCTCGAAATGTCCTGGGATATATCAGTCCTAAGCTGGCTAGCTACGTGAAACAATACACGATAAACAAGTGCCAAATAATATAGTGAAGCATCTAACTGCATATACGACATATTCTAATGAATCAGTTTTATCAGTCAGTCTCAGGCTACTTGCGCATACTGTTGTAACAAGGTTCCAGGTGCCTCAATATAAACTATAATACTACCCACATGTAATAGTTTCCTAGTATGGCAAAGTTTGCGGTAACGTGTAATTTCTTTGCGCCCTTGTGTTTGACTCGGTACAATTTTTCAACAGTAGCAAGCTAGACAGAATAAGTTTTAGTTAACAGTATTTCTTAACACACGTATAGCCATAAGTTTTTTTTAAAAAAAAAGTAATTTCAGTTTATACCGCTTATGTTATGGTGACTATGATGGCCGCAAAACTACATTACAACTTTGCTGTTTGAATAAATGTATGTAAATATTATAGCCCAAATATTACTTACGACTACAAGTAACTAAGGTTAGACTAAACAGTGAAGAGACGACAGATGTTGCAAGATTGCAACGTCCATATACACAAAAATCACACAGTTGAATATATCTTCCTCACCCTGCCGGAAGTCTTGTTGGAAAGGGAGAGATTTTTTCAACCCAGATACACGTCACATTAGAAGGTCAAACAAATTATCTGCCCATTGTTATAGTAAATTTTCTTTAAATAAATTTAAGAACTGCAAATCAAATTTAAATTATACTGTCATCATTATTTTACGGGTATATTTATTGATAAATAAATACTAAAAATAAGTCCATTAAATATCACAAGGGTGTCGATATTTATCAAAATTAACAGTAATTCTTACCTGGCAATTTTTGCCATAACAACAAAAATGCTTACTTCAACAAGAAGTTAACGAAACGCAATTTGACTCGGTTGATTAGATTACAACTTACTATTAATATAGTCTGAAGAAACGCTTATACATTTGCCATACGTCTTGAATGTCATGATGCCAGTTACAGGCGAGTACGAAGGTTTGTGACTTGGATGTAGACCCATCTTTTAATTTGCACTGTTTCGTAATGTCTGAAATTAAATTAGATGTCCACAAAGCTGCAGAACAACTTAGGCTAAGTCTTAGCTGTTTTGATAAAAAATGTATGTAAATATTATAGTCACAATAATGGTTACAACTTCAACTACAAGCAGCTTGGGCTTAGCTGTCAACAAGACATATCGCAAGCTGTATTGTATAATACTCACCACTCTACAATCAATACTTGACTGCCACAAAGTATTACTGTGAATGTGGTGTCTGAATGAATGATCTAGGTTTGAGCAGTCTGGTACATTTGAACTATTAACCTAAACAATTATAAGTCAAGAGCAGTTCAAAGGCCAAATTTCAAAGAGCCAAACTGCAGGCTAGACGGACAAGCTGGCAGGAAAAGACAAAGTCTTTAAACTTTGATAGAGAGACAAGGAAGTTGTGTAGGTCAGTAAAACAAATATTAATGATGAGAGTACACGAATAAATGTGAATATTGGGCTATCCTCTGAATAACGGTCCCAAATTTTTGAGGCTAAGAAAATACCATAACAGGGTCTCAATCATATGTAAATTGCGGACTTCTTTCTGGTGAATATAATGCATACCGCAGGAAACATTCCTCCGAATAAGGTCCCAAATATTCGAGGGTGTCAACACTCCAACACTGAGTGCTAGGTTTAACTTGTCCCATGGGTCCTAGGTTTAACTTGTCCCCTGGGCCCTAGGTTTAAGTTCTCCCCAGGGTCCTAGGTTTAACTTGTCCCCTGGGTCCTAGGTTTAACTTCTACACTGGGTACTAGGTTTAACTTCTACACTGGGTACTAGGTTTAATTTCTCCTCTGGGTCCTAGATTTAACTTCTCCCCTCGGTCCTAGGTTTAACTTCTCCCCTGGATCCTAGGGTTAGGGCAAGGAGTACTGCAATTACGACACTGCCACTAGAATCTGTCACAACAGTGAAACCGTGACACTATCGATTAAAGGGTTATGGATAAAACTTACGTGACGTTACCACAGCGGCACTAGTCGTGGGTTTTTACTGAATATTTAGCGTAGTTTCCTGGCGGCACAGTTACAAACATTGAGGCCCTTTTAGGGTATTTTTTTTTTAGCCTTGATAATTTGGTATCGTTATTCGAAGTTCAGCCGAATATTGTACTATGCAAAGAAGGAGACATCCTAGCAAGAAAACAGGCGGCTGACCACTTTTCAGATTCTTTTGCCAAAGAAAGATTTCTTAGCATGCCTAGTGACCCTATAAATGAAAGATTCCAATATCTAGCTTTAGGACGACTAAAGAGAAGCTGTTTAATCCACCAGGCCAAATGGCTCGGCAGACAAACCACTGATCTGCCTGCAGCTGAGAGCCCCTTAAATTCTGTTCAAGAATGGACCCTCCCTGGAGAGAAGTATAGGTTTCGGCTATCCTCCAAATAACAGTCCCAAATTATCGAGGCTAAGAAAATACCCTGACAGGGCCTCAGTCATATGTAAATTGCGGACCTCTTTATGGCGACTACACCTCATACCGCAGAAAAGCTTCCGCCGAGTTAGAGTCACTGCAGAGAGTTTCCCCCACGCCGCTACGTGCAAGCGGCGCAGAGGAAGACTGAACTAGATGGCTGGGACTCACGAGCAGCAACTACCACATTTCCTCCAGCTTCCTCCATTTTATTTGCTCGTGAGTCCCAGCCATTGTAATGTTGTGAATTCCCGGGGAAATTCCAGAGAGTTCCCGATGGGGAGGACAAGGTCAGAGGACCCGTGATACAAGAGAAAAACGAGATAAGTGGGTATCCCGTGGTGAGCGAATAAAGGATACAAGAAAAGCGTGAGCCTGGAACGAAAGACGTGAATCGAGAGACGGTAGTAAGACTGTTGAAGTTTGAACCTGGTTGCGAGAGGTCGAATGTGAAACAACACTTGATTAGAATGGAGAATTTGTGACAACATATAACTGTTTGAGAGAAGATATGAATGTTTCCTGATTGCCAGTTTCAACATGTACTAATACCAAGTACAAGGCTTTAGTAGGAGATGGATGTTTGATTCGAGAGATACGGATGGATCAAAGCAGTGTGCGAGAGAACTGGCCAGGCCATCAGAAATCAGCCAGGCATAACAACCATGAGGACGAAAGAATGCGCTGTCAGTGATTTGTTTGATTCAGCGAATAAAGGTCTATAACTGAACATTCGTTTCTGGTGTGTCATAGCAATTAAGTGTTCATCAATACAGCAATGTGGCGTTTAGAAACAAACCCCTAGCAGAGCACATTGCTGTTGTATGCTGTCTGTATTCTTTAGTTATGAGGTGCTAGACTGCGGTTGCCTTGGCTCTGTACGGATGTCACCTGCAGAGAGAAAGAGAGAGCACTTCTCTACTCTCCTGAGATGTTTTGTGTGTACAAATATTTTTCTATAATGACTGTTACAATAAGAAGCTTGCATATATACACAATAGGGGGTCCTAAAATGCCAGGTGCACATCTGCAGCTGGCTTAGATTTATTCTCTCCAGGATATATTTGTGGGGTAGCTTATTTACTTAGTCCCCCTTAGAAAATACTCTCACTGTGTGGGTTCTGGGGTCCCCATTGGAAGGGGAGGGGATAGACCCACAGCTCCCCTAACAAGAGTTGACTACTCAGGGTGTTGCCTTCAAGGCTAGAGGGATCTGCCCATGTGGCAAGGAACCAACAGTCTGCATACAACTAAGCCAAATCTCTAAAATGAATCTTCATGCAAAACTCAAGATCTGTAACAAGTTGTAATAATATAAAAGCAAATTTATATCGAGGTACCCTGTGTTTAATATTTATGTTCTACAAATGTTTACTAGGTACAATTTAATGCATTTTATAAATATGTAATAGGGTTATGGATATGTAATGCTTGTTGTGTAATATGTACTAGGCCTAGTAATACAAATATGTGGTAGTATTTTATAAGTTATGGAGTAGGTTATGTAGTATTTTGAGTATGTATATTTGTTTAGCCTGTCAATTTTGAAACATTTCGGTATAAACACACGATTAGTCACTCCTTTTTCATTTGATAACATCTGGCAACCCTATACAGCACATATTGACTGTGTCATTCTAGATGAATTCCCAGAGGGTCACATTGATTACAGACAGAAATACAAGGCACTGAAAAAGAAATTACGGCTTCTTGTTTATGTGAGTATGGTATTGACAGAACAGTATTAATATTTGTTAAATATTTTTTTTTAAAGCTTACAGTGTTTGCTATATTTCCCAGATCCTTGCTAGGACACAGATTTATGTTTGCCTTGAGTACTACGGAACTGGGAGTGACTGATTGATAAATTTCAGTTTAATCGCTAGTTCTGCATTTGGACTGTCATAATTAACCCCCTCCCCCACCCAAAGGGTTACAATACACAGAGAGCAAACAACACATAGAGAATAGAATAAAGGACATGAAACAGATAGGGAGCTGCAGACACTAGTAATGCAATGGATAAGACAACTTAATGCAATCTGGTTAATGGCCCATCTTCTTTTAGAAGATAAAGAATAATGAAACACAAACCTATGTACAGGCATTCAACCAAGAGCACCTATTGGCATTGTACGGAAGTTAACTTCAAAATAAATAGGTCGATAACTTGATTTGCATAACTCATGGGTCAGACTATTGTTGTAATTAAGTCCTGTGTTTTTATTCAATGCAGTACTGCTGCACTTTTATGACAGCTTCTGCATATTGTTTACTTCAGATTAGCAAGTACTGTGTTATCGACCAGATTGTAAAAGCTCTCAATAAAATGTTAGGTTAAATACGTTCTTGGTCGCTCTTGAGTCACATTTTAGACTGACTTATCTGTACACATATGCTAATTGCAGCCACTTGTTGACATTGTTTGCTTGTACACAGTGAGATTCCTTTCAAATAATCTGGACACAATGTCCCCCGCACCAAACAAGCATACACCCCCGTGTGGGTTCCGGGGCCCCATTGTGGGGAAAACAAGAATAGACCCACTGCCTCCCCAAAAGCATGTCATAAAAGTCGACTAATTGGGGAGTTTCCTTTGAAGTCGGAGTGCATCTGCCGGAGAGGCAAGGAACCAACAGTCTGTATTCAAGAGAGATCTGTAAAACTGATGCACACGCAACACTCAGGTTCTGGAGCAGGACTGCAGTTCAGTAGTGGACGAGCAACGAGAACTTTCCGCCAGAGTGTACAGCTGGTGAACGCAAAGAAGAAGAAGAAGACCAGCATACAGGCATGTCACAAAAGGTCATTATTCAGGGCTGTGTCCTTCTAGGTCGGAGTGCATCTGCCTGAGAGAAAAGAAATCAACAGTCTGCGTACAAAAAAGCCAGATCTGTAAAATGGATCTGCTTTTGAAACAGAAGTTCTGATACAAGACTAAAGTCCAGTTGGGGACACAAGAAAAGCAGAACTTTCCACCGGAGTTTACATTCTGTGAACTCTAAGAAGAAGAAGATCTAATATCTTACTGACCAATGTAGTTATTAGCTCCACATGTGTGGATGCATGTCTGAATGGATACATGGAGATGTTTTTTTTACTTTATGAATCTTGCATTTTTGTTTCTAAGGAGCAAGAATGCTTCCTTGAAGAGCTGAGAAAAGCCCAGAGAAAATTATTGAAAGTTTCCAGAGATCGGAGGTATGTAATACAACAGTTTATTTACCTTCCAAACAATCCTCATCACTTCCAACAATTGACTAAGTTTTGTGAATCTGGACTCAAGTGTGCAGTTACTAGATGTCCCAATACTTGGAGCACTTTACTGCATCGTATGTCGATTTCTTTGTCCAGTTGACAATCTTCAGTGAATGTTGTTCCAAGATATTTAAACTGAGATGCCTGTTTAAAATATGTTTGCTCAAATGCTATATTTAAATTCTGCTTCTTTCTACCTATTGACATTACTTCTGTCTTTTGATATTGATTCTTATATTATTTGAATTTCATTCTTTATTCATGGATATGAGATGTTGTGAATTCATTGCTGCGTCTGCAATCAAAGTCATCAGCAAAGAATAATTTGTTGATGTTACTATTATTTTTGTTCCTGGGCCTAGCATCTTTTCTTATACTGTCAGTCTGGTAATCTGGTAATCCTAGTTTCAGCTTCATAGCAAACGGGTCACCCCACATATGCTCCGCTCCTGTGCCAACGAAAAACAAACGCAGCTCACAGTGTCACGCCATGCACTCAACTCAGAAGCTGGGCGACGAAACTACATCCTTCCAGTCTACACATGGAGCAAAAATGTAACGGCCACCGTCTGGAAAAATATTTGCCACGGCTTAAAAAAAAAAAAAAAGGTGGCCGTACCTAGTGTCCATTTTGACCGGAAGAATTATATGAGGGTTAATAAACGGTCACCCCAGCAGTACCCTCATTATTAGCTGGGGAAGGGACTAAGGACATTACATCCACCAGCAGGCGTCGCCCCTACAATGACCTGCCTGCCAGTGTAGGTCAGTGTAGGTGTTAAGCAGAAGGGTGATAAGACACACCCTTGTCTTACTCCAGATGTTACTTTGAATGATTTGGATGTTCCCTGATTTATTCTAACTACGCTTTTACAATCTCCATGAAAGCTTTTGCAAACTTCAGTGAGGTGTTCACTTACTCCATATCGAGCCATTACTTTCCATAATTTGTGTCTATCGACCCTGTCAAAAGCTTTCTCCTGGTCAACAAATGCTACAAAAAAGTTTTGATCATATTCAATGTTCTTTTCTATTAACTGTTTAAGTGTAAAGATTGCATCTGTGCAGCTTCTATTTCTTCTGAAACCCATCTGTTCTTCTGCCAACTGTGGTTCTATCACTGGTCCCAGCCTCGTTTCTATTATCTTAGCATACATTTTCCCAACATGACTTAAAAGAGAGATATGCCTCAATATTGTTTGCCTTGTCGCTTGCTTCCCTTGTTCTTCCACAATGGTATAACTATTGCATGTTGCCAGTCAGTGGGAGCAGCTGTGGTAAAATACAGTTTGATAAGTCCATTTATATCTCATTATATTTATTGTGGTTGAAAGTTCATAATGTTTTTATTTTTTTATTTTTTAGTTTTCATTGTTAAAAAAAACTGTTTGTGTTTTGGACTGGTTGGCTGGTATGAAAACATGTGTTGCTTTCCAGAAGGATTTAAAGTAACAGCAGGGCGGTGGTTAGTACTTGAATAAAGGGTTTACATACCCTTGTGCTAAAGGTATGAGTAGTTAGCACGTTAACAGATAGTTGGTGTGCTTTGGATATTTTCTCCAGGTCTTCCCGTTGTGTTCTGAAATTAACAGGCAGATAGAATGGCTGTTTCTGCACCACTTGGTAGTAAATTCATGTATGACAAGCTAGAAGTGGTCCTGTAAAGGTCCTTTAGGGGAGAGTGAACAGTGCAGGTGAGAATGGCGCTGGGGAGAGTTACCTTGGGTATCTGGCCGGCACTTAAAGGGAAAGGTGAGACGGATATAGTCAGGCAGTTACTGGTACTATTGGAATTGGAACTCTTTGCTTGCTGCTGAAGATAGGGACAAAGCACTTATGGAAGGGGCTCAAGTGCTGTGATGTCGATTCTTAATTCGACATTCAGATAAGAACCAAGACAGCAGCAAGAGGTACATCAACTGTAACACAATGAAAGATAAGACCAAAGATAACCTGAATTCCTGTAGAATGAGACAGGAAGCTTGCAGTTACCTGATCTAACTACTTTTAAACATTAGAGCCTAAAGTGAGTAAATATTTCAACTGTGTTATAATTGCAGGCTTAAAATTTTTAACTTGCAGTTTTTTGTTGGATCGGTTGTTGCAACAAGAAAAAATCGAGGACTCATCAGAAGAATCGGACGCAACAAATTCTACAGACACTGACGATGGAGGTGGACACCACAGAGAGGCTGGTCCTGCCAAAAAGTAAGTATTTTGATGTTTTAATGGAGCAGTTTATGCTTATTATTGGCCATTATATTCAAGGTTATATTTTATTTATTAATTCACCAATTATGCAGCTTAACCACCATCTTCTTCTTCACGTTCACCAGCTGTAAACTCCGGCAGAAAGTTCTGAGTGTTGCGTACATTCCCGTTATAGAAATCTAGCATATTTGCATGTAGACTGTTGATTCCTTGACTCTCCGGCAAATGTACTCCAACTTCAAAGGGAGCCCCTGCTTAGTTGACTTTGACAGGGAAAACCAGTCAATGTCCCTGCTACTCAGTTTTGCTTCTTGTATTATTTTGAATTTTAGGACTTGTGACATACTGGTTGAACAAACATGTGTGTGTATATTTGCTGTTTGTGCTTAACATCAACAGTATCAGATGTGCAGGCGCTTAAGTATTCATTAGACAATGCGCAAAACTGCAACGATTGTTGAGGGCAATAAATGACTACAGTGAGCAACTAAGCTTATAATAAAATACTAAGAAAATGTAAATTGTGATCATCTTCGAGAAGAATGATGTATGACAATGTAACATCCACGTCAAACTGAATATAATCTAGGGTTTGGACATTTTTTTAAAACCTTGGTTCCCAGTCAACCCAGCCTAAAAAAGATACCAGGAAGTATCCTGGCTGTTGGGGCAACTGGCGTGATATTGACCACATCACTGACAGAGTGCCGATCGGTGTGAAAAACGTGTCTGGCATCATGTGGACGATGCACTACTGGCATAAATAAGGTCCCTTTACTTTTTTACTTTATAATGGGATCATCCTTTGAGGAGCAAATTGGTACTGCAGTCTTATAACAGTCATCACATCAAATGCAAGATGGCTGTAGAGATTAGCACCAGAATTGTCCTGATAAAAGTTGCCTTTATAAAATTATACCAACTTCTGTGAGAGCAAAAAAAAATGCTCAAGTGCTTGACACAACCTGTACTGCTGTATGCCTGTCAAACGTGAACAGTAAGCAAACTTTTAATTACAGAGGTATTTTGGTTTCTAAGGCAAATGCGAAGAATACCATAGCGAGAAGGGCTTTCTTTTGGAATGTTCAACAGGGTTTATGTTGGAAACTGCACATTCAGACAATAGTAAGTGGCCTGTTGCCACAGAACTGGTGGTTAAAGGTAAGTTGCGTATCCTTTGCAGGAAGTTACAGAACCAACCCCAACAGCCCCTGGCTGTTGTGTGCTTTTTCTAGGCAAATTTACGTCCAGTAGTTTGCTATTGCTTTCTGGACGGTCTGCTGTCTTGAAACCACTGTCGAAACCAACGCAAGGCGCTTGGCCCGCAGCTGGGATCGAACCCGGCATTACGAAGTGTTTGCATCGACTTAGCCACAGAGCCGACGAACTGATTTTACTTATGTGATATTTCAAGTGCAGCTACCAATCTGTTGTAACTTTGGCTTCCATCAGTGATGAAATGCAGTTCTAGTGGACTGTTCGTGTTGGCATTTCTGACGGCTGCCTTATGCATTTAATGCATGTGTGCACTCTTGGCTTTTCCAAGACTGCAAAATGTTTAATTTTTGTCACAAGAGACAGCAATGGGTATTGCAGAGTTTGATAGCACATGAACAACTATGCAGCTGCTCATTCGTAGTTAACTTGGAATTGCAAATGACTGATTAACAGACAGACAGAATAAAAAAACGAGGCAATTTTTAAAACAAAAATATGGAAAAACTGCATAGAGAAATTATGCATAGAAGAAAAAGAAGGAAAGAGATAAATCAGGATAGCTTGACCACATGGCATGGATCGTGAAGAAACATAGACCAGATCTGTAATGTTGATGATTGTTACATTTTAAATATTGGAAAACGTTTTGTGGCGTGTGTGTCATTCTAATGATGTTATTGTTTTTCTGATAATTTCAGCCTCAGAGGTTTTATATTTTCCGATTATGACTTTTCTTCATTAATTCTGTAGAAAGGTGCATTCCAATATTTCACACTTTTGTATAAATTTCTGTAGGAAAAGGCTGAGTAGCCACGTGTCTGCCTTAGGGGAATTAGCACATATGTCTCAGGCAGCAGCTAAACATATTTCAGTAAGTTCTTCATTGTTGTTCTGCTTTCTCTTGTTTTTTTTTTTTTTTTTTAAATAATGTTTGGTATACTTCTACTTGAAATTTATCTATGTTTAGTGTCAGCTAATTACTGGACGTCAATTTGCCTAGAAAAACCACACAACAGCCAGGGGTTGTTGGGGTTGGTTCTGCAACGTCCTGTAAATGATACGCAACTAACCTTAGTGTCAGCTATTAATATTACAATTTTTGGTAATTGAAAGAAACTTATACAAGTTTTTTTTGCTGTCTGAAGTTGGTCAAAATAAATTCCACCCTTCAGGTATGCACACAGTAGTGTTCAGTTACACTGAGATTGGCTCAGTCTGTTCCTGGTGTGTCTGACCATCATGTGAAGTGTTCTCAAACTTAAGTTTACTAACTAAACTAATCTGGCTTCCCCAGTGGTGTTTATCGCTTTTTTTTTTTTTTTAAATATTATGGACACTGAAATTTTGTCTGGGAATTATGTAATACTACAATTTTATATGTCTACATGTCTACAAAAACAATTTGTGTATGCTTATTTACTTTCTAATTGTATTTTATGATATGACACTGAGATGAACTTTTGGAAATTGTTTATCCTAACAAATAGATTGTGAGCTAATTGAGATTATTTCCCATTAACTTATAGATTATATATTAACAGAAATTGTATATGATTAAAACAGATGGGTTATATACTAATAAAGATTGTTTACCATTTTTCTGAAACAGTTAGACTGTGGACTCATGTTTAACTGATTTAATTGCATTGTTTTGCAGGGTACAGGTGAATCTTTTGGCAGCAAAAAGAAAACTAAAACCTCAGGAAAAAAGAGTGGTAAAGCAGGTACGATTGATCACTTTATTCTTTTTTTTTATAATCTTGTCTCTGTATTGTATAAATGCCCACTTATCTGTCTGCTTGTAGTTTCATTTTTACTGCCTATCATCCTCTCTGCACCTTCATTGACATGTGCAGTTCACTCTTCATCATGAACATGGTTAAGCTCAGCTCTGCCATTAATTCTTCTTCAGGTAAAAGAAAAATGGCACCTCAGGCATATGATTCCTCAAAATACAACTATTACATTTGTGACTATTTAGAGAGTTGTTAATGAGTAGATTATTTTCTGTTTGTATGCCTGTAAGTTTGAAGTTTTAACGTTTCTTCATATTTTCAAGGACATCTGAAATCTAGCGCTATCAAACAAGACTCTCCAGGCCAGATGACTAGAGAAGAGTTAGAGCGCCACCTAGAATCCAAACAACATGAATTTGGAATAGAGAAAGCTACAGCCTCTTTGCCAATGGAAATATTTAGCAATGACCCTCATCATGATAGGTAGGTCTGCATAGCATGCCCTTTGTTGTACAGTTTCACACTGATACACGTATGCTCTGAAGAATGTGGTGGAGAATCTAAATCATAGTCATAGAAACCTAACATAATTATAGGAAAGTAAGCTTGCTTACAACAGCATTAATGTTCTGTGTATTATAGCATTGGTTCATCTGTCAGATCTTTATGTATGTGGTGGATGTAGTCCCAAGTCACCTAGAAGCATCTGATGTTGTAGTTTATAAGATGGGGGGGGGGGGGAGATGCATTGGAAATAAGAAAACTGTAGATCATGATGGCTGAGGTGAGTGAATGTTGCCAGGGAATGGGTATTATCATCAGCTCAGATCATGATGGCTGAGGTGAGTGAATGTTGCCAGGGAATGGGTATTATCATCAGCTCAGATCATGCTGCTGTTTTATGGTGTTAATTAAATAATAGAGTTTCTTATGGTTATTAGGTGCTAGGAATAACAGTAAATGGCAGTCCAATCAAGAGAGCAGAGAGACCAACATGGCTGTAAACTGCTTCTCTTATGTGTCACTCTTGAGTGCGGTTTATAATTTACTGCAAACAGAATACAAAGTCAACTACAGACCTGAGAAATAAGATGCTCCTGAAAGAAGGCAGAGGTCATACCAATACACCAAGAAGTCTAACTGAGACCTGAGTAATACCATCTGCAAAATGGGGAGAGAGGCAGCCACACCAGACTACACTTGCTGCACAGGAAATTATGCATTGTGAAGGATGACAGACTAAAGAGATGCAGATCCTGGATGGTCCTGCCTGAAAAGACAATCAGCTGTGTCTGCAACTTTAAAGAGATTATTTGAGGAGAACAAAGAGAAGGATGATGGAGAAGAACTTGGTATATGACATTACTACATCCAGCATGAGAATGAAAGTTGAGGCTATTACTGCGGCGTTCGATGGGTGAAATAAATCTGAACCACACATGTTGTCATAGTGTCGGATTCACAAAGGATATTGAGGAGGGTGGAGTCAGGTTGTCTTTGTATGGAATGGGTTACATCAATCCGGAGATCGCAGGTGCTGAGAGTCACATGGCTATTTTGCCCAGGTCATTCACTTGTGTTTGGGGATGAACAGGCAGATAAACTGGCTGGACTGGTTCCACTCAGAGGTGTACTGCAACTGCATAAGGCAGAGGTGATCTCAAGTCTGTGGGACAAGGTAAGAGGTGAAATGGAAGATACTAAAAACCTGTACCTAGAGAGAATGATACAGCTGAGAGTGGCTGTGGGCTCTGGATGCCACTCGAGACTCATAGAGGGAAGACAAGACGAGTAGTTAACCATATCACAATGAGTACCTTCAGTATTGAAACTCTTCGCTGTCTGTTGAGGAGGGAGACAGCAAATGTATATGATTGAATTCTGTGATGTCCAATCTTTACCCAGATGAACTAGACTTACTGGGGTGATGACTGCTAAAAGACTGAGGACTTAAATTTCAGCAGACCATGCCAGTTTTTCCAGTTATATCTAAACTATGCTGTACATGTTGTTAGTCCATTATTTGTTAGCTTCCAAAATACATGTATTTATTTTCTGTGCTCATGTCGAATCATCATCATCAGGTGCCTTGCCGACTGGCGTGGGCGATCATGCCTCTCCATAATCTGCGATCTCCTGCAGCATGTATCAGTTCGTGTGCCGACACACCTCCATGCCATGCAACAAGACTGTCAAGCATCTTCTCTTGTTGTCTACCTCTATCTCTCCTTCCACATATCTTTCCAGTGGTCACAACATGTTCTATTTTCCCTCTTCTCATAACATGGCCGAAAAATGATGACTGACTCCTTCTGATGTCCGTGATAAGTTGTCTTTGGGCTCCCGCCTCTTTCAAAACCTCTTGGTTGCTCTTTTTGGCTGTCCAAAATATTCTAAGCATTCTTCTGTAAAACCACATCTCCGAGGCCTCCAGGAATTGTTTGGCCTGCCTACCTATTGCCCAGGATTCACAGCCATATGTTGAAACTGGATGTATGTAGCAAGAAAGAATTCTTTTTCTAACTCTCAATGACAAGGATATATTGGACAAGATGCTTTTCATTTTATAAAATGCAGTTTTTGCCTGTCCTATTCTGTTTCTTATCTCAGTTATGCATCTTCCATCTGATGTTATCCATGTGCCCAGATACTTAAATTTCTGTACTTGTCCTAAAATAGCACCATCAACTTTTATTACACACTTAGGAATAATTCGTTTCTTTGATACCACCATTACTTCTGTCTTCCCATTATTCAAACTGAGGCCCATTCTTCCACTTTCTAACACCACAATGTCTATCATTTCCTGTAGTTCTTTCTGACTTGTTGCTATCAAGACTGTGTCATCAGCATAATGCAAATTATTTATATTGTGCCCACCAACCACAATTCCGGGCATACCAATTAAAGCTCTCATTGTATATTCACTGTATATTGAAAACAAATCAGGTGACAGTACACATCCTTGTCGTACGCTTCTCTTTATGCTTTGAAATGTACCTAAACAGTTGTTAATTCTTATAGCTGCTGTTTGCTGCCAGTACATTTTCTTTATTATTATTCGATCTTTCCCATCAATGTTTAATTTTTCTAACAGTTTGATTACTTCTTCATGCTTCACACAGTCAAACGCTTTTGAATAGTCTATGCAGCATATGTACAAATCAGTCTTTACTTCTATAGCTCTTTCTGACAATGTCCTTAGGATGTATATGGCATTGTTTGTACCTTTTCCTTCTACAAATCCACATGTCAAATACGTGTATTTATTTTCTGTGCTCATGTCAAATAGGTGTATTTATTTTCTGTGCTCATGTCTCACATTTTTATGTTTCCAGTGATGGTGGCATGGATGGGGGAGAAGAGGATGAAGATGACCTTGTGATAGATGTTCCACATTAAACCTGCTGACGCCTGTTTTGCCGGTTCAAATTTCTGGCGACACCTACAACTGTTTGATGTCAAAATGTTTTTAGAGGAAATAAAGGTCTGAAAGATTCAGGCTCAAAGCGAGCTGTCAACTACAAAATTTGTCTTCATCATGAGTCTTACTTCGATGCTGAGAAAATGTCAAGTTCCTAGTCACAAGCATTCAAAAATAAAAATAAAAACTGTGTGGTCTGTTTGAAGACTTGTCGAAGTTCACCACAGAAACAATGAATAAAATATATTGATTAAACAGCTGCTGGAGGAACACATCCAAATCTCCAGTAGCTTATAGGAGCACATCCAGATCTCCAGTAGCTTATAGGAGCACATACAGATCTCTAGTAGCATATCAGAATCTGTTATAGTTATTGGAGCATATCAGAATTGTTATTAGTTTTAGGAGCATATCAGAATCTTTAATAGTTATAGAAGCATATCAGAATCTTTATTAGTTTTAGGAGCATATCAGAATCTGTTATAGGTATAGGAGAATATCAGAATCTTTAATAGTTTTAGGAGCATTCAGAATCTTTAATATTTATAGGAGCATATCAGAATCTTTTATAGTTATAGGAGCATATCAAAATCTTTAATATTTATAGGAGCATACCAAAATTTGTAATAGTTATAGGAGCATATCAGAATCTTTAATAGTTATAGGAGCATAGAATCTTTAATATTTATAGGAGCATACCAAAATTTGTAATAGTTATAGGAGCATATCAGAATCTTTAATAGTTATAGGAGCATAGAATCTTTAATAGTTATAGAAGCATATCAGAATCTTTAATGGTTATAGGAGCATTATCAGAATCTTTAATAGTTATAGGAGAATATTAGAATCTTTCATAGTTTCTAGGAGCATACCAAAATTTGTAATAGTTATAGGAGCATATCAGAATATTTAATAGTTATAGGAGCATAGAATCTTTAATAGTTATAGAAGCATATCAGAATCTTTTATAGTTATAGGAGCATATCAAAATCTTTAATAGTTATAGGAGCATATCAGAATCTTATATAGTTATAGGAGCATATCAGAATCTTTCATAGTTATAGGAGCATATCAGAATCTTTCATAGTTTCTAGGAGCATATCAGAATCTTTCATAGTTTTCAGGAGCATACACTGATAATTATATACCAATGACGACAAAGAGAAAGGGGAAGCATTTTTTAAGACATTTAAAGCCCAAACTAATCAGCTTAGAATTTCAGTTAAAGATCATCTGTATAATACAATACATGATAATTATTTTGAGGATATCATTAGGATGGAGGATATGAAACAATGCAAAAAGCTAAGGATACTGCGTCAGGTATGCCCCCACGAAGAGCGTAAGTGATGAAAACTTGAGGGAGATTGTTTTTTTTTTTACTTTAACCAGAGCATCAGAACAGCTTCAGCACCCCAGGATTGGGTACACCACTACCTAGTCCCACTTCCAAAACCAGACAAAGATCATTGCAGACTCAGCGGTTTCAGGATTATCACTCTACAAAATACTTTTGGCAAGGGGCTAGAGAATATTGCTGTTAAAATACCGTTGGTTTTGGAAAGGGAAGAACTCTTGTTAAAAGGCTTGGATAGTTACTGGTTATGAAAGGATATCTGGTCAAATGCAGCTACTTTTGTTTTTGATGTTTGTAAGGTTTGAGGTTTTGAGCAAAGGATCAACATCATGGCACATGGGTGTAACCCATAAGTGGTCCATTCTTCTCTGACTCAGGTCTGAGTCCAAGAAGCTCAGCACAGTGCACAGGCTCTGTAGCACCGGGGGAGGATGCTGAAATACTTTTGTAGATTGTTAACTCACAATTTTTCCCGGGCAGCGCCATTAGGCTATTCTTTTCGATTTCCAACTGCCAAGGGATTTTTTACATGCTCAACAATGCACACGGGCGTCCGATTTCACTACCCAGAGACCAGGGGGAATTACTAGAAGTCCAAGTCCACGTGAAAAAATCCCAGCCCTTACCGGGGATTGAACCTGGAACCTCTAGCTCTCGAGGCAGTCCCCATGCCTCAAAAACGAGCAGCAATAATTGATGTTTTTAGGGGTTCTAGAACAAACAGGAAGCGGTTGTAGCAGCACTTGATTTTGAGGATGCTCACAATAGAGTCAGATGTGATATTTTGATTTCTGCACTCATGGAGAAAGGGGGGTTTGTCCGTGGCTAGTCAACTGGATAGCAGCTGTCCTGCATTCACGAATGGTTGCCCTTCGCCTGGGTACTTGGACCTCAGAACCATGTCATATCGCCAGCAGTATGTGATTTTTTTGTTTTCCCCTGGAGTGATATCTAAGAAGAACTACTCACACCTAAATATACCTATAGAAAATTGGAACCAGTTGGTGGTGTGGCGGCAAGACGTTCATCTGCGGGCTCGAGGTTTTGGGTTCAAATCCGCAACGAGCTGGATTTTCCGTGGGTCTCAATGATGGTCAAACCGTTTGCCACGCATTCTGAAAGTTGTGGGCTCGTTCAATTAACTAGTACACTTTTTAATTGAGATCACTCGGGTCGTCGCCGATGCTATGGAGTTCATTTTTTGTGTGATGCTCTCGGCAGGCAGCTATCTGCTCTGTGGGGATAGACTGAGCCACCTGGGACACAGTCGCTGCAACGACATGTATCTTCCCGACTTTAACATTTAACCGGAGAAATCTGAAAACCTTTTGAAAGACAAAAGAAATGAGATCGCGGAATATACACTGGAATAGTCTTCTTCAAGATTTCTTGAGTAAACTGTTGAATATGAACTTTATCATTCAGTACCAAATTTGACTTTAGTACGGTGACCATAATATCTTAAGCTGAAAACCGAACATCACAATAATAACAGGACATCCCAAGCAACTCATTGACCCCTCTCCCCTATTGAACTGGGGGTGGGGGGGGGGTGTAGTACAACTGCGCGAGGCAGAGGTGATTTCTCACCAGTGGAGCCAGGTCACAAGAAACACGCAAGATACTGAAAACACTCGCACTTGAAGAGGGCGTTGTAGCTGGGAGTGTCTGTCGGCACCAGACGCCAATAGATACTGGGGGGGGGGGGGGCAGTACAAGTAGTTAACCAGATGACAACGGGTATCATTAGTATGGACCCCCGCGTGGGTTCCGGGGCCCCATTGTGGGGAAAACAAGAATAGACCCGCTGCCTCCCAAAAAGCATGTCGTAAGAGTCGACTAATTGGGGAGCTTCCTTTGAAGTCGGAGTGCATCTGCCGGAGAGGCAAGGAACCAACAGTCTGTATTCAAGAGAATGAGATCTGTAAAACTGATGCACACGCAACACTCAGGTTCTGGAGCAGGACTGCAGTTCAGTAGTGGACGAGCAACCAGAACCTCCGCCAGAGTTTACAGCTGGTGAACGCGAAGAAGAAGATTAGTATGGAGACTCTAGACTGGCTGTTGAGAAGGGGGACGGCGCAAATAAGGGCTTGTCCTGAATGCTGTGATGTCGAATCTTGACCCTGGTGAATAATTAAGGAACAAATGCATTTTAACAAGTCGATAATATGAAAATCAAACGAACGGAAACATACAAGTGGATAGTAGTAGTAGTTCATTTTACCACACCAGGACATCACACAGAGGGATAAAAACCCGATGACACAAAGTGCCACCATGCGGATGAGGATCACCCGTAGAGGGGTCACGAAACTGCGTTCAGCCGTTAGGCCATATTTAAGGCCCGGATATATTTCGGTATCTGGCAAGAGCCAGGGTTGGGGCCTGAAAATAACGAAAAATTGCATCCCACAAGGGGAAAATATGTAGATGATCATGAGAATTCCTTGGTGCAAACTTCAACTGCTCCAACATGCTGTGACGAAAATACATTTTTGAATACAGTCTAGAAATAAAGTAAACTATGCCCTTGAATGTCTGCTAAAGTCAAAGTCTGCAGCTCGCAACGCCAAGATAGAAATACATTATATATATATATATATATAAAACCGTGATTAGACAAGTCGTTTTATATGGCTCTGAAACTTGGAGCACAACTAAAAGAGATAAAGCTTCATTAAAAATTTTCGAAAACAGAGTGTTACGGCGAATTTTTAGACCCATCAAAGATGCAAAAAGCTAGGAATGGAGAGTGAGAAGCAACAACGAAATACATAATCTAATTCATCACTGATCACTGGCATCATGAGAGCTAATAGACCTAAATGGCTTGGGGCACATTGAGAGAATGTCAGATGACAGAGAGAAAAAAAACTACACACAAGGGAGCTTAATGGTTGTAGACTACAAGGGAGACCAAGAAGGCGATTCTCTGGAAAGAGAAGGCCAACCAGAGAGATAAATGGAGGCGGGTGATATCTGCAGCAATTAAACTCAAGGGCTTTGAATGCCGAAGGAGGAGGAGAATGCATTTTAAGAACATGAAAAGCGTTTTATATAGTCTTATAAATTGTGGAAAGAACCCTTTCACACGCCTTTGGGCGCATAGTGTGATTGGTAGTATACGACAACACAATATTTAGCGTGAGAATGGAGGTGGAGGCGGTAACTGCAGCTCTCAGGTGGCTAGAGAACAAGATGCATACACAAGTCGTAATTGTAACAGACTCTGAAAGTATGCCGAGAAAGGTGAAGACAGGGATGCTGCGAGCAGAGCGGCAAACTTCACTGGGAAGGTCCCGGGTAGTTAGCATATTTTAGATCTCCTCTCCTGGTATGCCGGCGTAGTGGGCAATGAACATGCAGATAGATTGGCTGGATCTGCACCCCTGGTTGCTGAATTGATACATGCCAAGGCAGATGTGTCTGGCCTGCTCACTACACTCATGGGAAAGGCTTGACGGACATATAACCAGATTGTGACCGGTACCATCAGTATTGGAACTCTGCGCTAGCTGCTGAAGATGAGGACGGACATGCATGGGAATGTCTCGAGTGCTGTGTTGTCAATTCTTGACTCAACTCAACTCAACTGTGATTGGTCCGCATCAAGATGGT